CACCATGTGCACTGGTGGCACAATAGAGTATTATCTAGACTGGTGCAATCAACAGGGTTTGGGGTTTAATCAGAGACACTTGTCTTCAAACCCCTAACTCAGCTATGAAGCTCAACAGATGATGGTGCTTTAGTTATTCTCAGGCTAGCCTGCCTCACAAGGCAATTGTGGGGATAAATGGGAAGGTGTGGGGAGCCACAAACCATGTATGCTGTCCTGTGTCCTTGGACAAAGGCCAGGATAAAGATAAATTCCTAAGTATGAAACGGATAAATTCTTAAATAATGCTAAGTCTTCCAAGTTAACGGTGCTCAGACGTGAGCTATGAAATGCATGCAATCCTACAATTTGCAACATGGCCTAAAAGCTGGAGCTCTCAATTAAGATGAGAATACAGCCTGGCCTTTGGGTTCTTTTGATCCCTGCAAGGCAGAGGGTGGAACACTCCCTACTGTTTTTGAAGATTTAATAGCAAATAAAATCTGCTTTTCATATTAGAAGTCAGATCCCGGATGACATCAGAGACTTTAAAAGGTCTTGTTCTGATGCCTTCAAAGCTACTGCGCTTAGAGCAGAGTTATAATTAACGGGCCAACATCAGAGTGGACAGACAGACAACAAGGGGCATTTTTTCTTTGCTTTTTGAAGAATCCAGGGTTTCTTTTGTAAAGGGGAAAAAAATGTTACAAGCTTGTAAAAAAACTTCTTCATTAATAAGAATTAGGAACTCTACTCTTGGCTCTTTGCCTAAAGCTACAGTATCCATTTTCCACGAAGTGATGACAGGACAGAAACAGCTTGAAAATGAATTAACATGGACCAAAAAGAAGAGAGGGAGGGAATCACCCCACCCAGTCTTTCTTAAAGCTACAATTAAGACTTGATATAAAACAAGATTTACTTATACGTGTTGATACACTTACCACTATCATTTTGGAAATGATGTATTTGTTTGCTTATTAGGCTAAGGCTCGTCGCCTGATAAAACAACTCTTAGCTGGTAAACTGAGTTTTTTTGTCAATTGATTTCAGCTACCTGCAAGGATGATTATTATTTACATGCGGATAAAAACAGCGGCTCTAAAGCAAGAAGCATGCTTTTTTTTTAAAGGTAATGTCCACATGTGCCATAATAGGCATCATTTCATAAGAGACATTCCCTAGAAGAGAAAATGCCTTCTTTAAGTTAGTGTTTGCCATTGGCAGTTTTCAATGAGTACTTGTGAATTTGTATCTATCGGTCCAGCTTCTATCTGAATAATCAGGATTAGACACTGAATCGATTAAGAGATTGATTAAAAAACAGGAGGCAATGTTCAGTCATCTGACCTCTTGCTCAGTCCTTCCCCTTAAATTATCTCTCTCTCTCTCTCTCTCTCTCTCTCTCTGTGTGTGTACACACACACACACACACACACACACACGTATATATATTCACACACCTTTTTGCAACTCAGGGCTGAACTCCCAAGAGAAAGCATTTACCCACTAAGTGCAAGAACGGCTTTGTGAAAATCAACGGCAGGTGCAGGGGGGCTTATCCGGTCCCACTCCAGACCAACCCTAAAAGCTCCCTCTGGCCCAGTCCTATGAATCAGCTTGATCACACACACACACAACCCACACTCTCAGAAATACAGAGACAGAGCATTTCAGAGAGATAGAGGCAGCTCCCTCTCCTCTAATCACAGTAGTGTGATGGGAAAGAGAGCTTTCACAGAACAATCTTTTACATGATCTGCAAGGTTTTCTGAGTCTGCCCATTCCCCAGTCAAATATGCTAGAAACTCCCCAAAACACCCTCTGCTGTCTTCCTTCAGTGAAGACTTGGGCAGAAAAGTACTCAAGAATTGGGAAGCTCTGCCCTCCTTGATTCCGTGTCCCCTCAGTACCTACTATCAGGAGACTGAGAACAGGAAGACAAAGGTTTCCAAGCACTCCTGAACTGCTCTATAATATGGAAGCAGCAGAAAGCTCACCAGATGTAGCTTTGCTATCGCTTACAACTCTAGGACAAACCCCACTGAATCACAGCATTGCAGTACGGGATCGGGGGGGGGGCCTGCGGGAGCCATCTATCTCTCTAACTATCTATTTCTTTCTTTCTTTCTTTCTTTCTTTCTTTCTTTCTTTCTTTCTTTCGACAGTTTGCAAGGCAAAGCACAAAAAAACTTGGGGGGGGGGGTGCCTATGTCCCATAGGCTAGAATCTTATACAGGCAAGAAAGCACTGTTTCAGACATAGACACTACAACCAGCTGCCTCTCTATTCCTCTAGCGCTGAAGCCGTCAGTCTAAGTGACATACAATCTTATGAACGCAGAAGCTTCAGCTCCGAGTCTTCAAAAAACGTTCTCAAATCCTAAACCTTTCTGGAAAGAGCAGCACACTGTTGCTTAAAAGAAGAAGAAGTTAGAAGTGGGTAGGGCATATTTTTAGGGTCTATCAGTGGATCTGAGTAATTAGCAGAAGATAAGCAAGGATTCAAACAGCCAGCTTTTTTTAGGACCAGCATCAACAAAAAGCTTTACTCGCCCTTCTAACTTAGGCTGCTGAGATGAAGAAAGTTGGTTGGGGTGAATTAAACTGTATGCGGAGCTGTGTGTAGCGGGACTGTGAGCTCAGTTCTGGTACTGAGAACAAATTTCTGGGCTGTGCCTTAATCCTGCAAGCTTGTCCCTACCCCATTATCTTACACATGGCTCCAGTTGGTGAGCTTTCGGGTTCTTAAATAAAAAATAAGTAGATTCTGCAAGTCTGGAATATACTCTCGTCTTTAAAGTTTGAAGGAGAGTCAGAATAGGTTCGCTTTGACAGGTAAGAAGTTGCCTTGCAGTGCTCGGTGGTCATCCAGCGCACATGTGAATCCTAAAAATAGCTTCCTTGCCTGATGCAGATTTTATATGCATACTGGCCAGAACTCCAGATACTGAACCGCACCCACTAACATCCCAGCATATTTGACGCAGAACGATCCAGAGTGTGCAGCTGCTGATACAAGGGTCCCTTAAGAAACATCTGTTAACTTCCTGGCACCATTATCCAGAATTTCTTGTTTATAACTTTATACCCCCCATTAGGGTGTATAAGAATAGCACAAAACCAGTATTACGAAATGCTAGGGAAGAGCTATAAATATGGACTTCATGGGCTTGTTTCGTTGCTGGAAACCTCATTTTATTATTATCACATGGAGCAATTAATTGCTGTTTTTAATTATGTAATATTTAAATTAAAACTCCTATGATCCTATCGGCTCATGTTTATTGGATATTTGATTTAAAACCTTAGCACATGGTACTATTATTATTTTAAGGAACACCTAGTGTGTGCAATGCTATACCAAATGTAAGGGGTGTGTGTGTGTGTGTGTGTGGAACTAGTAATGACCAGTACTGCATGGTGGTGGTTGTGGGTTTTTAAATTATTATTATAAAAAAGTATGTTTTCTGAATTTCCCAGATATAATCAGAATCTGTGTTGAGGCATTCACTGAAATGAACTTCGGAACTCACCACCTCAAGATGGGAGTGCGGCCTGGATCAGATGCCAAGTCTCACTTAGCACAGTGTGGACAGCGGGTCACTGGGATTAGCTACCGGAGAACAAATTTCAAATCCTTCCCCCCAGCTACCAAAGACCAAGTCACATTCCCAGCAAAACCAGCCTCACAGGACCGTTTTGAGGATTGATGAGCTATATTAGAACATGCCCTCAGTTCTCTGGGATAAGCCAGAAAATAAACCCTGGTAACAGATTCAAAATACACCATGGAGCAAAGTGCACAGGCAACTTCACTTAAAAATAAAAAATGCATTGTTAGGCATGAAGAGCCTCCTTGAGCACGTGCTGCCTGGACTCTGGCCACATCTGTTGGGACCACTCTCATGATACAAGACAGCAACATCCCCATTTGTATCCATAAGGATAAGAACTGGACATGGAAACTGGCAATACAGCTCCATCAGTAAGGCTGCAAAAAGGACTGCATGGGTTGCCCTGTTAGACTACAGTTTAAATATCTGAACACTAACACTCTTTCACAAGACTCACAACTTTAAAACCCTGTCACTTATTTGACATTCCACTTTCTGGGTGCGTCTGGAAATCTCCCCTCAGTTTTGGATTTTGGTTCTGATGCATCTCTTAAGAACTTTTAAGATACGGACACCATGCCTGCTCTGCAACCTTGAGATGATCAGAAGCTTCAAGTAAAAATCGCAGAGGCCGCACGTAGCTCGAAAGTTACAATGGTCCACTATGTTATAAGGGCCTGAGGGAAAGCCAGTCAATATGTGGCCACAAAGCATCAGAGATAAAGGAAGCTCTGTCGATGTAGGAAACTGTGTTTAAGACTTCCCAGAATGAAATGTGCTAAGTATTCTTAGCAAAATAAAACAATCATTATTATTATTATTTTTAAAAAAGAACCCAATGGAAACAGTACAAGAGTGTGCTAGAAAACTGGCTTAAGAACAGGAAAAACACTAGTCATAGCTGGAAAGTTGTCAAATCTGGAAAGTCATAAGCATCCCAGAGGCCACTTTTGGGTCTTCGTGACAAAAACTCGATTCATTTGCAGATCGTTCAGGTGAGGTGAATAAGGTGACCTTTTGTCACTCGACAAATTAGGAAATGGAATTAACAAGGTACTTGTATTAAAGACACACCTTTGAATCCAAGCAGTGCTGGACATTTAACTCAAGAGGCAGCTGTCAAAGCTCTGCTCCTTGCCACATGTTCTAACCTCCCAGACAGTAGGAATATGAAGCTGAGTTGTATTAGATGAGTGGGTAATACTGGGAATGCAGCAGTTGCATCCACATACAACCCATTGACACCTTCTGCATGAAAAACCAGATCAAATTCTCAGCTTGAACTTAACCAAGCTAGAAGACCGCATGAGCTATAGGGCAATGGGACTGCTGAGAGCCATACCTAGGAGGAACATGGCGCTTATGAACTGCAAACTATCCAAGCCTTGCCATGGGTTTAACTGACCTGGCGTTGATGGTCTTTCCAGCATATTCAAATGATGGTAGATAAAGGCTTGGCTGTCATGAACCGTGTCCATATCAATCTCTTCTTCCTCCTGAGAGTTTGAGAACTGTGACAATCGAAAAACAAACAAAACTAAGAGTTAGGGAATGCTAAAGGATCTCTCTCTATATATATATATATATCTCGCCTCTGATGCATGAACCATTTTTACTATAGAAAATAATTCGAAAGAAAATACACATGAATACACCACCACTGTAAATTAACAGCCAGATCCTACCCAGGTTGAGGCACCCCTAGTTAGGCAGAATAAAAACCGAAGAGGAGCAGGTTATGGCATTTCTTAAGATGCGATTGGTAAAAAGAACGTAATAGACAGTGGACAGCCAGGTGTGGGGTACTCATTCACAACCAGCAGGTTCTGGTGGTTCCCCATCACTGTGATGCAGAGAGAACTAGATTAGCACCAAATGCCAGGGTTTACTGTATTTTTCACTCAATAAGACGCACCTGACCATAAGACGCACCTAGTTTTTAGAGGAGGAAAACAAGAAAAAAAAATATTCTGACCGAAACAGTGGATGTATGATTTTTGTGGTTCATGCTGTGGCCACAGACATGATATATGATCTGATGGTGAGTTTGGGGTAGCCCCGTGCAAAAATCCTGAGGATCAATGTGGATCCGTGCTTTGTAACCACGTTTTTGCACCATTGCGGCCCCACAAAACAGTGGATGTGTGATTTTTTTTGGTGCAGGCTGTAGCCGTGGACATGTTATGTGATCTGATGGTGAATTTGGGGTGACCCAATGCAAAAATCCTGAGGATCCATGTGCTTTTACCTCCCCCTCCCAGGCAGCCTCCTTTATCGCTAGTGTCCCTTATCTCCCTCCTGATCGCTTGCCGATCAGCTCATCAGCGGCTTCGTTTCAACACCCCCTTCCCTCTTTCTAAAAAAAGAACTCCAGGGCTCCAGGGACCACGCATTCACTACATAAGATGCACAGACATTTCCCCTTACTTTTTAGGAGGAAAAAAGTGTGTCTTATGGAGCGAAAAATACGGCACTTTGTTGCTCTGTCCCTTTTGCAAAGCATGTTCCAAAGGTACGGGATTCCTCAACCACAGGGATGGGCTGGCAGTATCAGCAGGTGCTTAAGGGTGGAGCTGACTGGCTACTTCCGCCTTTCTCGCCTTTGCAGGGAGAGTCCCATCACGCCATGGAAGACTTTCGGTCACTGTTTCTCCAAGACACTCTTGGGCCTGAGGAAAGCGCAGTGTAATTTCTCCAACTGCCTATAATTCACTCACTCTTATTTTGAGTTTGACTTTGCTGTCTTCATTCTTCTCGAGTATCTGGCCTGGTTCTAGTGGGGACCCAAGAGGCGTGTCGGCCTTCCTCTTCAATCCCTGCTGATGAGGGAGGGGGATAACTGCTGCTTCCTTGGCAAGGTGATCATCGTCCTAAAGAAGCAATTTTAAAAACCTGATTTAAAATCTTTACATCCAAAAAAAAAAGAAAAAAGAAAAAAAATGTTAAAAGCACAGGAACATAAACAGCAATAATTACCATATTTTCCCGTCTATAAGACACCCCCATGTATAAGATGTCCCCTATTTTTTGGGACTCAGATTTAAGAAAATGGGGGGGGGGGAGAGATGACCCAGAGTATAAGATGCCCCCTAATTTTTGACATTATTTTTTAGGGGGGAAACCTAGTCTTATACACTGAAAAATACGGTATTCTTCTGGGAACTGGAAAAACAAATCGTATATTATCCTTCGTCATATCAGCAGCTGGTGTCACTCCTGAGAATACAGCTCTCATTTCTTCTTATCAAATACAGTGAAAAAGGCTGCTGCCCTCCAGACCTGCCATATAACCAATATGTTTCGAAACAATGATTTATATTTGTTACAGACCGAGGTTTGGGATATTAGATCCCTGCCTGAGCAAGCATAAGGGTAGGTGGGATTGGGTGGGAGAATATTTTTAATGCTGCATTGTGACTTGAAAGTAGATAGGTTCAGGCTTGAATACCTTTGCACAATCCAACAAGTAGCATAGCCTTTTTTGAGAGGCGAATTTTTCATCTGCCATACATAGACATGTCAGTTTAAAAGGCTACAGCCCCACTCCTTTGGGACAACCTCCATCACTCATCTATGAGGCAAAATTCACCCCACAAGCAGACACCACTGAAATCTGTGTCGCTGGCTGAGATTCCCCCCCCCCAAAAATAGTATTACATATTGTAGGAGAGACAGGCAAAATTAAACTCTGAGAAATATGAATGAGGAACTGCCTGTGGCTTCATGAATAAGTGGGGATGGGGAGGAGGCATATACTACTTCAAGACAAATATTCCCAGCAAGTGGAAGCAGATCAGATTTGCAGTACAAGGTCGAGGATAGAAGCATGAGACTAGGCTAGAGAGCAAGGCCTGAAAACTGGTTGCATTGTGTTACAACTCCACTACTGTGAGTCGTGGGGAGGCTGTGAAAGAATAAGGAAATTGCTTACAGTGCTTTGGAAGCCAACTATTTGACCCAGATTGTTTGGATTGTTAGGCGGTTCCGGACCACTTGCCCCCGCCTCAGGAATGATGGTAGGATTCAGCACAGCTTTCTTTTCTTTTAGGTTAAGGACCAGCCCAAGTTCTGGCAGAGGCAAGCAGGAAGGCCTGCTGAGGCCAAACAGCGTGAAGTACAGGTCGACAGCTCCACAGCGCAGCCTCCAGTCGTGGGATGTACCTATGGAGTAAGGAAAAAGCAACCATGTTCTCACACTGTCTGTGTGCCTTTTGAAGCAGGTTCTACTGCAAACTGTTGGAAATGAAGCAATTCTTCCTGTACCTGCCGGCTGCTTTGCATCAACAGGAGCACAACCCCTAACAGAGACCGATAGGAGATGCCTCATCACTCCGTAATAATAGCATGCATTCTGCTAGCAATTTTCAATCGCCACCACCACCACCACTTCAGCAAAGGCAAATTAAGTGTATCGTCATGCCTTCCAGTGGACCAACCTGGGATTTAAAAACTAGGTCAACTCCCAAATAAAGGGAATTGCATGGAACAGGATGACATAAATCTATATACACGGGCCTACAACAAAATGCAGTGCTTGTTCCAGCACAGTTAGTATCAGGGGAGAAAAGCCTGCCCTGCTGGAGAAGGATAAGCTTAGAAATATTATTAGCAACAACCTACGCCTTGCCAAATTCTATCCTGAGCCAGCTGCTTGTGTTCCATAGTACAAATAGTCATTTATAATTCTGAAGTTGGACCAAGCAACAGTTTCACCACCTGGCTATTCTACAGAAATTTAGTGCATTAAGTCGACAGTATCTTTTCCCCCTCCTCAGCAGAGAAGGGTAATGTTTGCCCCGAAAAAATCCCAAATCATCTTTGTGCAAGAGACAGGCTTTTCTAAAAAACACCAGCAGCCAGCACTCATCTTAGGCCATTTTTCCACCAATCACCAAGAAAAGAAGATATTGGACTAGGTGGGCCTTTGCTCTGAACCAGTACAGCTCTTCGGATCTCCTGACGTTCAGCCTATCCAATGCCAAAGCCTTGTCCCAGATGTTCTCTAAGTTCCCCAAAACTTAAAAGCATATTGAATGTCACAAGCGTTAGTTAAAAAACAAAAACTCAATGCAAGAGAGTTTGCTGGACTGACACCTCTGTAAGTATTTTTATGCCATAGAACGGAGTCTCTTTTATGTATAAGATTGTAACACAATAAGCACAATACGGTACTCTCATTGAAACAAAAAAGCCTAGTTTCTACTGCCTTCTTATTCCAAATACAGCATTGCCATTAAGCTTGATGAAAGTTTTAGTTCCTGTACACAGATGACTTTAATGAGAAACAGTTTTAACAAGCCATAACTGAGTAGAAATCCAAATTATTACACTGGCAACTGAGCACCACACCTCTGGTCCACAACAGCTTATGCCAGGACAACAATTGTGTTAATCTTTAAGGTGTCACAAGACAAAATGATGCTTTTCTTGTAGGCAGGCAGAGTTGCAGTCCACACCGTCACTGCAGTGCACCACCATCAACACGCAGCCACTGCCACTAAAGGCTCACCAGCGAGCCTCTTCGCCACTTCCTTGAGCCTCCAGTCCCAGTCTCTCTGCCCCAGCCTGAAATGCAGCTGTGCTCCCAAAGGGAGCACAAACAGTGAGACTAGCAGCGAAGTCCTCAGCTGTCAGAAAGCAAGGCAGGTTGCCCAGCTGCCCAGGTGCTTACGCTTTCCCTGAACCCAATTCCACTGTGAGCACAACAACTAAGCCACACAGTCAGGCTGGTTTGCCACACTATCCCCTATGCCACCTCAGGCTGCCCAGAACAACTAACTGGTTTTTTTCGTCAGCACAGCAGACAGCCTGAATTTGAACATGCCCATTAGGGCTGGGCGATATCGGGTTTTCAACATTGTGATATATCACCGGCTAAACATCACGATATACTGATGTGTCGTGATGTCTGAAATAAGGATGGAGCTATGTAGAGACATTGGCCGGCTTCATTGTTTTTCATGAATTGTGTTTTTTGCTGGTGCATGTTCTTGTGATTTGTTGCCCCCTGCATGAGGCAGCGGAGAGCTGAGATGGCAGAGTTAACAGGGACTGAAGGAATCGAGATACACAGTGGGCTGGCTTCATGGCTTTCCCCACATTGTGATTTTTGCATAGCGCGTCACACACACACACACACACACACACACACACACATCATGATTTGTGATCTATTGCCAGGTCAAAAATTATGAAATTGGCATAATGATATTGACTTCAAACTGGTTTTGGAAAATATATTGATATATCGCCCAGCCCTAATGCCCATAATGCCAAACAAAGGCAGTCATATTCACACTCACCCCCCCCCATTTGAGCTGTTTTAGAACAAACGGTGTGTTTTTTTAAAAGATCTGTTAGGACATACAGTGGTACCTCGCAAGACGAATGCCTCGCAAGACAAAAAACTCGCTAGACGAAAGGGTTTTTTGTTTTTTGAGCTGCTTCGCAAGACGATTTTCCCTATGGGCTTGCTTCGCAAGACGGAAACGTCTTGCAAGTTTGTTTCCTTTTTCTTAACACCGTTAATACAGTTGCGACTTGACTTCGAGGAGCAACTCACAGAACGCGGTGTGGTAGCCTTTTTTGAGGTTTTTAAAGCTTTTTGAGGTTTTTGAAGCTTTTCCAAAACTTTCCCGACACCGTGCTTCGCAAGACGAAAAAAATCGCAAGACAACAAAACTCGCGGAACGAATTAATTTCGTCTTGCGAGGCACCACTGTATGTTTGTTTTCTCTGTCATAACTGGCTTGTGTTTTTAAAGGGTAGTTAACACAGAAGGACTATAACCCCCAAACGGCCTATAAATAATTTCCTAAATGAAATAAACAAAATAAAATCTCCAATTGGTAGTGGATGCCTAATCAGTTTGCGAGCTTCAATGAAAACCACAAACAATGGTGCTGAGTCTTAACTCACAGATAAACGGAAGGTCACACAATTTGCCAGTGAACAGCAGCTGCACCCCACAAGCTGATCTGTTTACTGCATGAGTAGTTAAAATGGGCAGATTTTGGTCATCTGAAAGCACGTGACTCCAGTAAGTTTACAGAGTAGGCGATTTCCAGAAAGGAAAAAGATGTTAAGTAGCAAACAAAGCAAAAGGCACATGTCTCAAAGAAAACTGAGCAAATAGGAAAATTACAAGACAAGATTCCCATGGATACAACTGTCACGAGGGCCCACAGCATATGATACTCAGGGTTGCCTACGGAGATGCAGACCCCTTTGCCCTGATAAGACTTTTCGGAATAGCTGGGAAAACACAATGAAACAAAAGCCCAGCTGTTCATGTCATCCAAACTTGAACAAGTCTTACAGGAGATAAGAAACTAGGGATTTCCCCACCACCACCACCACCACCCCCATTTTATTTCACAAATTATGTCATCACTAAATATACATTGGTTTCTACAGCACCTGGAAAATAACAAAATTTTACTAACGGATTAAGTTGTTCATTTGCGAAGGCAGTTTTCTATCTGAAGAAGTGTGCATGCAGACAAAAGCTTACAGCCCAGAACAAACTTAGTTGGTCTCTAAGGTGCTACTGGACAATTTATTTATTTATTTCGACTGCGTCAGACCAACACGGCTGCCTACCTGAATCTAGAAACTAACACTGTTATCTTAACTTAAAAACTGATCAGTGAAAATCTGAACTGCTATTGAAACAAATATTAATTTTTTTAAAAAAATCAAACTTAAGTATAGTTGAATATCATCTCTCATTTTAAAAAGGTTTGGAATTCTCTAGCTTTAGCTTTCTAGAGTCTGGCATTTCACTCTTTCTCTCCAAAAAGCAACAAAAACATTTGTTCTCCTTTATGGGCTTATAGGCATCAGCAAGTTTCAAATCGTTAAACCTGAATGGGTGGTTTACTCTAACAAATATTCTTACTGGCACTCTGAGGTTTTGTAATTGCTCTTTACAGAAAATAAATTTTGAGTAGAGGAATTCACATGATTTGCACAGAGATTTATGCCGTTAACACCCCCAAAAAAATAAATAGAGAAGGGAACATCTCTCCTATTATGACTCCTTTTGTTACAACAAGGTCAATGAGTTAAAGGCTAGCTTTGTACACTCAATTCTCTCAAGGAAAAGAAAAGGGAACATGAACTCCCCGGTGGGTAGATGTAAACTGTTTACTTCCTGAGTATGACATTTGGTTAAATCTTTCCAAAAAATTAAGTAAGGCGGATCCCATTCCCCCCCAGGTTGCTTCAGCCCCTAGTGGAGCTGAAAGCTTCCAGGCTCTAAAAATAATGATGCATACAGAGCACACAGCCACTAATGTCCCCTAGAAGAATACAAATAAAAGTTTGTATGCAAGCACTGTAAGCAACATGCCAGATTTTGAAGACAGTGCTGGATAAGGCTGATCTGCTAAACGAAAACAGATTAATGGCAATTGGATGTTGATTCTTGGGTAACTTCCCCGCCCCCCTTGAAGGAATAAGCATTGGGTCGGGAACGTGTAGAACCTTTGGAAAAGGCACGTGAATATTCTGCTCAATGACTTTCCCCTGCAAAATTCACACAGATTTAAAGAACTAACAAACATAAGGTTTTTCTGTATGGCTCAATTCAGATATAACAATGAATCACAGTTTGTTATAAGCAGGAGCATTGGTGCTGAACATCAGCTACACAAGACAAACTAGCAACCAGGTACTAGGGTAGGTGAGTTTGGGGAGGCTCCTGTCTGTCCAACTTCACTTTCCCCTTTTCTTGCGATGAATCCTATTTGGAATAAGGGAATTTCCCTTTAAAAAAGGGAAAAGTTGACAGCTATGAATGTATACAGTGTTAGGGTTGATCTAGTCCTGACCAAAACGCAAGCCTGGATGTTAGGGAAATGCTCCAATAAAATGCAAAATACAAAGAATTTCAAGTTGCATGCCTTAATCTGCAATCCAGTGCAATCTGTCTTGAAGGCATGCAGGATATTGCAACCATGATCGAAACATGATCGGCTTTGGGGAGTGCCTGGATGGAAATCTGCTTGGGAATCATGTATGCTGCCTTGAGAACCATGTAAGAAAGGCAGGATATAAATGAAGAATAAATTAAATAACCCCTTCTCTAACCAGGGTGACTTATTTTCAAGCAAACATGCATACAGCCAGGCTGATTTGTGTTATTAGAATTTTTTTTTAATGAGTAGAATAATAATAAATAAATTATAATAGTAATAATAATATTTAACCTGAATTCATAAGCTTCCAGAGCTGATCCACCAGCGCTTCATTGCACAAAGGAGATTCCATGTTCTTGGTAAATGGAGGGTTCTTTGTCAACATGTTCAATATCTTATGTCTAAAAAAAGGGACAAAAGTCAGCTCCTAATCCATATACAATCTGGCCTCCCAGTTATTAGGCTCTGCATCTTCGCCAATCTTTTTTTGGCTCCATAGTTATACATCAGGATTACAAGGGTTGAACGTAAACTCAAAACATGTCCCCTGGTGCTCGCCTCATCGCAGGAAATCAAGATCAATGACCTTACACAGGATTCTAAAAATGTATCAAACAGCCATTTTTGTGAAAAGGCCTGGGGGCAGTAACAGTCAGTGGAAAAGAAACCGAGAGGGGGGAAACCTGAAAAGAGGCAGCAGTGTTCAAAGTTGTCACTATCTAGGTCACCAGGGGTACTGGCTTGTACTGGCAAAGTCTAACTTAAAGCAAACAGGCAAAAAGTTCAACTACAAATGTATCATTTATAATCTTTGTCCCTCAGCTACAAACAAGAAACCAATTTATATTTTCTTTGGTATCTAAACATAACGAAGCCTGGCTCTACTCTAGATACACTGAGCCCCAGTGTGGATTTTGATTTTATTTTTTAAAGAAAGATGTAAAGAAAGATCCTGCATCTATGGCCAAGAATTGAAAAGTACAGTGGTACCTCGGGTTACATACGCTTCAGGTTACATTTGCTTCAGGTTACAGACTCCACGAACCCAGAAATAGTACCTCGGGTTAAGAACTTTGCTTCAGGATATGAGAACAGAAATCGTGCTCCGGCAGCAGGAGGCCCCATTAGCTAAAGTGGTGCTTCAGGTTAAGAACAGTTTCAGGTTAAGAACAGACCTCCGGAACATATTAAGTACTTAACCCAAGGTACCACTGTAGATGCAAGGCCTTCATAAAGAAGTATGAACGACTGCAAGGAAAAGCACAAGACCTTCCCCTTGACCTCTAAGGGCTTTGCCATGAATAGTTCTCATCTCTTAAGGAAGTGGGAGAGTGCTGCCCTCTTGCTTAATAGCCACAGATTACCCTCTGCTCCAGAATGCAACCAGTCTCTTGATTCAGGCAGAAACAAAGTACTGATATTCTGGTGGGAAGGATCGCCATGCTAACCTGTAGCCACTGAGATGTTGTTCCACCACAACTCTCATCAGTGACAGCCAGCACAGCCAATGCTCAGAGATGGTGCAACTCAACTGAAGTGTCGCAAGTGCCTCGTATATTTCCATCATCTGAAGCTGAGGGTCAACTGTTACCTGAAAACCCCATGCATGCTTCTCAGAAGAAAAGCAACATAGCAATAGGCGATTTTAAATCCTTCCCACTAGAATATACAGCACAAGATGGTTTGAAATCTATAACCTAAATGAAACACCTTTCAAGCTGCCAGCAAGGAAGACTAACCTGACATAAGGCACAGGGTCATTCTGGACCATATTGAGCAGCCACTGTAGTTCCTCGTAGCTTCTGTCAACTATGAAGACAAAATGAATCTCTTTTTGAGTAAGATGTTGGAACTGCACCAACTAGAAGTCGGAAGTTATTAGAAAAAATATCGACAAAAATACATAAAAGCCTTTCAGAAATAGAATGGAACTGATGCATTATAATGTGTCACTGTTATAATTTTGGGAGGGTGGGTAGGATGGATGGACTCTACAAATCTTGCTCTTTGTGACACACAAATTCCCATTTTCTCTCAATTCTTCTCTCTTGTATTTGGATGCAGTTGCTTAAACATCTGGAATTTAACTGGGAAACCTGTTTCCCCCCCTCCATTTTGGGTGCCACACTGTAGGAGTCCACCCTGTGCATAACAGCTCATTTGGGATGCTGACTATTCCCTCCTAGCAAAGTGCATATATTCTATATATACTCCATACTCCCAACACTTTGCCTGTACATCTGAGCACAAAACATTTCTCATTGCAAATCAACTGCCTACACACAAAACCCTCCTGCTACAAGATGGCATCATACTCAAGAAACTGAGCGGTCAAACAAATTTTGCCCAATCCAGACAGCAATGGGGTTGCCTCATTTCCCAGCTCATACTACATTTGTTTTCAAACTAAATTTCATGGCAGTCTTCCATGGAAGCTCATCTGATTCCTCAATGAGAAGATCAGTAATGGCAAACAAGTTTCCTTGAAAAAGAGCTCACAAAGCACTACTTGTCTGTCCCAAAGATTCAGAGCTTAGCGAAGTGGCCATGGTCTAGGGTGCACAGGTCTAGATATTAAAGGCCAAGTAATTGTTCAGCGCAACAACTTTTCTTTACCTTTTGTGTAATCAACCACTGCCTCCAGAGCTGCTATTCGGATATCCACAAAGTGCCCGTATTCCGCATAGGACTTAAAGACAGCAGGATCACTTGGGACGTGCCCGTTCTTCTGTAGTATGCGAATGGCATTCAAGCAACTAGGCACATAGAGAAGGGGGAAGGAAGAAAAAATCTGTTATAAAGCCTGCATTCCCAGGCACTGGAAACAGAAACCTACTTTAGCATTATCACAGCAAGTTGTTGATGAATTTCACAAACTCTGAATTACACCAAATTCATGTGAATTCTTTTTTTTTTTTAAGGTGCCTATTAATTTTTTTACGAAACAGCAACACCAATAAAATATCATTCTTGACTTCCGAAGAGTTCTAAAGAAACCTGAGCTGAAAGGAGAGCCCTAAAGAAACTATTTTCTTTCTTCTGTTGGATATTTCACCCAACACAACATACACTAGTAGAGAATTTCAAACCCGTAAGAGCAGGGGTAGGGAACCTTTTCCAGCACAAGGGCCACATTCCCTTCTCGGCAATGTTCCAGGGGCCATGTGAACCAGTGATTGGTGGGGGCAGAAGCAAAAGAGAGCGGAGTAAGAAATGTAAATGTTAAATGTAAAAGGACCCCTGACCGTTAGGTCCAGTTGTGGCTCTGGGGTTGTGGCGTTCATCTCGCTTTATTGGCCGAGGGAGCCGGCGTACAGCCTCCGGGTCATGTGGCCAGCATGACTAAGCCTCTTCTGGCGAACCAGAGCAGCACACGGAAACGCCATTTACCTTCCCGCCGGAGCGGTACCTATTTATCTACTTGCACTTTGACGTGCTTTCGAACTGCTTGGTTGGCAGGAGCAGGGACCGAGCAACAGGAGCTCACCCCGTCGCGGGGATTCAAACCACCAATCTTCTGATCAGCAAGTCCTAGGCTCTGTGGTTTAACCCACAGCGCCACCCACGTCCCTCATATAAATGTTACCTTTGCACAATAATTTGTTTCTGCGCACACCCCTCTATCCGGGCAAACAAAAGGCATTTTATTAGAGTCAGAGGGAGGATTTCAACATCATGTTCTTCTGATAGTTCCGTCACGCAAACATTTCTGCTTGCAGACGGAATGATCCTCCTTCTCTTCTCCCTGCATGCTGTTCTGAGGATTCAGAGGGGATTTGGGGGAGTCATGGCAGGGGAAGCCCTGCTGGACTAGCAGGAGCCCTTGCACTAGCTTCTACAAATGCAATGGGTTCAAAAGTGAATCTGGCCCAGAGGGCACACTTCAGACAGACAAAAACGTTTAAGGGACTGTTTGTAAACACTGGCTACAGGTAATGAATCATACGTCTATGGTGTTACAGCAAACCTAACACGCCTCACTGTATCATATCTGAATGATACAAGACTGTCTCGGCTTGCTTATTTGTTGTTGCTGGCATCCTTCTGTAATGAGAGACAATGGAGTGTGCCGTCGGGGGTAAAGTCAAACCGCTGTGTTAGCGGCACTGAAGTGGCGTCCCTGAGGAGCAAGCCTGGGCAGTGTGTATGGAAGTCCTGAGCTGCTCAGACGACAGGACCTCCCTCTTGGCCTTGCTGATACTTCTCCTAGCTGGGCTACCTTCCTAGGTTGATGAGCCCCATCTGCTCCTATTATCTGCATTTTCTTTATAAAAGTGACGGGGTGAGCTCCCGTTGCTCGGTCCCTGCTCCTGCCAACCTAGCAGTTCGAAAGCACATCAAAGTGCAAGTAGATAAATAGGTACTGCTCCGGAGGGAAGGTAAACAGCATTTCCGTGCAGTGCTCTGGTTCACCAGAAGCAGCTTCACCCGGAAGCTCCCTTGGCCAATAAAGCAAGATGAGTGCCGCAACCCCAGAGATGGCCATGGCAGGACCTAATGGTCAGGGGTCCCTTTACCTTTTAAGAGGAGAGTCCAGATACGTTATCATAAAAATCTAGTCCCTTGCAGCATCCTTCCCAAGTGCATGGCTCCTTGTTTAGGATTCCCCTACTGCTGACCAGCATCAACCCTCTCTGGACAGCTGTGCACATGAAGAGGCTGAACATGTGCATTGCCTTGAACATAGACATGTGATACGCAAAACACACTTAACTCAGTGTTACGCCATCATAAACAGTAGATTTTATCTTCCCTTTGTTGCATAAGATCAAAAGAAAAGGAGAAAGCTGTGGTTTCAAGTCCTACAAACATTCTGTTTTTAGAAGAGTATTTTCTCTTAAAGCTTTTGCACAATTTACAAAAGGACTTTCTCGGCACCCGTTAAATCGAGTGCATCAGGATCAACAGCAAAGTAGGAAGAAGCAAAAAAAAAAGAGGGGAGTGTACTGTGCTTTTAGATTTGTATTTGCAGGGATTAAATACATTTAAAAAAAAACATACCTGACCGTAATGGTGTGCCTATAGCTGGGAAGTAGCTTTTCCATGTTTAAGAACCTGGTAATTTCCTCAAGAATGAGGCGAACATCAGGATTTAAGTTATCAAGTGTCCGGGCTTCATTGTTCACACTGACGGCAGGAGTTACAGAGTTTGCTAGCGCATCTATCAGCTCTGCACGGTAATAGTTGTCTGAAAACTAAAGCCAAAGACCAAAATACGAGATAACAATCATTACCAAAAAATAAATAAAATTGAGAAGAAGAGCACTGCTCTTTTAGACAAACTCAAGTCTAAAAATGAATGGAAGAGGGTAAGAGTATTCCACGTCACAACATTTAGCTGCAGGTCCTGTTCCATTTTGCCTTAAAGTAGTTCTCTGCACATCAAAAGGGCAGGATCATGGATAGAAAACTGCAATGCTCTGAGACAACTTTTTTTACCTTGTTTTTTCTATTGTCGTTGTACTTGATTAGATCTAAAATGAACGTCAAAACCTCTTTGGGACATAGATTATGGACATCTCTCAGTAAGGCCATTGCGACAGGCATCGTCTGCAAAAAAAGGGACCAAGATTAAACAAGCAACTGCTTTCGTTTAAATATTAAATGAGAATCGACAGCTTTTGCTTTGCCATATGATGTTCTGCAGTCTACCAGTCCGTATTTCCTCCACCCCATAATTCAGGAGGTAAAGGTAAAGGTAAAGGTACCCCTGCCCGTACAGGCCAGTCTTGTCAGACTCTAGGGTTGTGCACTCATCTCACTCTAGAGGCCAGGAGCCAGCGCTGTCCGGTGACACTTCCGGGTCACGTGGCCAGCGTGACAAGCTGCATCTGGCGAGCCAGCGCAGCACACGGAACGCCGTTTACCTTCCCGCTGGTAAGCGGTCCCTATTTATCTACTTGCACCTGGAGGTGCTTTCGAACTGCTAGGTGGGCAGGAGCTGGGACCGAAGACGGGAGCTCACCCCGCCGCGGGGATTCGAACCACCAACCATACGATCGGCAAGTCCTAGGCACTGTGGTTTTACCCACAGCGCCACCCGCGTCCCAATTCAGGAGGTAGAAGCATGAAAATCAACATAAGAACATGCTAGCTAGCTGTTAATAAAACCCAGTTTGTGAAGTTATCAGGTACTTTTTAAAGTCATTTGGGCAGGTGGTCATCACGATAGGTCACAGCAATGAACCCCTTTAACTTGTGCGTTATTGTAAAGGTGGGATTCCTTTTGTCAGTCCCAAACCTCTCTCTGCCTCATTTCATTAAATGGCCTTCAGCTCTAATAATTTCACAAATAGAATGGATATTGCCTTCTATTCAATATTCTGCACGCATAATTTTATAAGTCTCCCCGCCCCCAATTTCTCCCCTCCTGATTTCTTTAGCTTCTCTTCGTAGGGAAAATACTTCTGTACTTTTTGCCTTTCATTTTTTTGAGGCGGATGGGACTTAGGACATCTATCTCCAAAAGAGTGCTGCCACTCTTCAAGCGAATACATCCAGTACCTACAACTATTTCTCTTTTGCATCCACCACTGTAGACCAGCCTTGAACAAGCTGTAAGAGAAGCTGCTACGTTTAGAAAAAGCTAAATTAGACAGCAAGTGGCCTTTTACCTTCTGCAGAAAGTAGCTCTGGTAGTTCATGAAGTTATTGGTTTTCACAATGTTTGGGCAACTTTTGCAACAGAACATCCGGGTGAAGAGCGACTTCATGGCTGGTGGTCCTGTCCACGTGCTCACCATGAAATTTGCAATCTACATAATTAGGGAGCAAGAGAGAAGCTACATTATTAGCAAGACTGCAAGGTTTGATCTGTTGCCCTCTCCCAAACCCCGACTCCTCTCTTTCTTACTTTCATTTCCAAAGGGCTGAGGAGAAGAGAAAGCTGTAGTGAGTGAACAAGATCCGTAACTCTTTAACAGACAGAAACTTTAAATCAGCATTCCCCCCCCCCCAAAAAAAAACCTTTCCTAACTCTGAGTTGCCTCTTAAGGTGCTTTTGTGGAATCACTGCATTGCAGAAGATACTGAAACCTATCTTAGGACCTGGATCCCCAATGTGGTGCCCATGGGCACCACGATGCCCTCAGACAACCCCATAATACCTACCTAGCTCCCCTGCCCCTTGTCTTTTTTTAAAAAAATGAACGGGTTTGACGGAGGGCGATTGGGTAGGTGGGGGAGTTATCTAGGGTTTTTTGGGGGGGGCTGCTTTTTCTCCGATGTTTTGGGACATATGCAGGTATTTTGCCTGTTTTTGTGTTTGGGGTGGGGGAATGGTTTTGAGCAAGACTTTTATTCTTATTCATGGGACTTTCTTAGATTTCTCAATAGACTCTTAGGCCCAAAAGGGTTGGGAATCCCTGTCCCAGGACATGCAGTCAATGGTGTGTAGGGTAAAAGCCATGTTTCTGTCCCCTAGAATACAACTAATACCATCATACAGCTGGGGAGAGCAAGGAAAGGTTTCCAGCAGTGAGTAACAGCTGTCAGGCAGCTTCTTGGCCATTATCATTCTGGTTAATTCAGGAATGCTGATGAGCTCGCAAGGAATCCCGTGGTTCGAACACAGTTTGAAAACCAAAATATACTACCTAAAGCCAGACAGTCTCTCACCACCACCGCTTCTATAAATTGGAACTATAGTATATGGAAATGGTTTTTACAGGTCATCTGCAACTAATTATCTTCCCACAATCGCGATCTGGTTTTAATTGTTTTCCTCCCATTTACATTTCAGACAGTCTCCCCCACCCCAGTTACTAAAGCCACATATTCATTCAGTCTCTGCGGAAGACAGTCATGGAAGTGGCCTGAGCACTACCAGTTATCTCAATTTACCATGCCAATAACCTCAATGCAGATTTCAAACATGCCTTAGCCGCCCTGGGAGTACGAGACCACCCGAAGAGAAACAGACAATTCTGAACCTTGTCTAGCTTTTAAGATACGGTTGGACAGCTGAAATCAAGTTAACAATCAGTATAACAGGGGAAAGTTTGCCCAGCTTCCCCAGTGCAAAAGCCTATTTTGCTCTAGCTAGCTTTCTCATCAGTTTTTGATACAATGAACCATGGTATCCCCCTGGACCGTCTATAGGAGATGGGTTTCAAGGGTTCATAGAATCATAGAATCATAGAGTTGGAAGAAACCACAAGGTCCATCGAGTCCAACCCCCTGCCAAGCAGGAAACACCATCAGAGCACTCCATATGGTTGTCAAGCCTCTGCTTAAAGACCTCCAAAGAAGGAGACTCCACCACACTCCTTGGCAGCAAATTCCACTGTCGAACAGCTCTTACTGTCAGGAAGTTCTTCCTAATGTTTAGGTAGAATCTTCTTTCTTGTAGTTTGGATCCATTGCTCCGTGTCCGCTTCTCTGGAGCAGTAGAAAACAACCTTTCTCCCTCCTCTATGTGGCATCCTTTTATAGGGTTCTATAGGGGTTACGTCTAATCTCCGGGGATGGTTCCAGAAAGTAGCGTTGGAGCACTGCTTCTCAGTCCCCTTTGAGCTACAAAATGCCACAGAGCACTATACTGTCTCCAATGCATTTAACATCTAAACATCAGCATGCTAATGATACCATCAGGGGATATTGAGCAAGGTTTCATCAGCATGCTAATGATACCCAGTTCTATTTCTCTACAAGATCTGACTTGGGAATGGCTGAGAAGACCCTGGATGCAGTAGTAAGCTGGATGAAGACTAATGAATTGAGTATGAATCCTGGCAAGATGGAGGCTCTGTGAGACAGTGGATCCGACAACTAAGGAAGTCAGCAGATTGTTAAGCTTGAAGTGAAAATTTCACCACTCCCCTAGATTTCTAAGGCGCCAGAAGAGCTTCAAAGAAAAACCTAACATACACTTTGGCTGTCTTTTAAAATGTTAGAACAGCAAACTTCCTTTAGGCCTGAGGATTAATGCAAAAATAAAACTGTTGGTTCAAATGTCTCGTCTCTTCTTCAGCAATTGTTATGAAACGTTTTTCTAGTTTCCTTTTACAGACAAAAACCTATGTTGCTTTGTTTTGACATCAGTCACTTAAAAGCACTTGATAAATATTTCCATAAGGCTGGACGCCAGACCAGTTTAGGAGACGTGGTGAAGTTTTAACCCTTACTCAACTGTGTGAAAATATGTAAAAGAGACTGATATTTGGCAAAACCACTTAAAACTAGAAAAGACACATTCACCAAACTTCATAGAAATTGCACCCATTTAGCCTGCCGCCGCCCGCCCCCCTTGACAGTGAACATCAAGCTATATAGGGCTGAAACCTGAAACATCTGCCACTCTATTTAATATGGCAATTCAACACCTGGTCAGATCAAGGGAGGGGGAACCACTGTGGGGTCACACAGTTTCACAAACATGGGGAAGGAATTGCTACACAGGTAAATAAATATAGGAACTCAAGCCCATGGGAGGAGCTAGAGCTTTTTTTGGATAAGGTAAGTCCTCTTTGCTATAGAGTTTTCAAGTAACCAGGGGTGGAAAACTGTACATGCATTTTTCTCCTATTCTTCAAGTTTAGATTCTCTGCGAGCTGCCCAATTTACATGTTGCAAATGCTGCTGTGCAGATTTCCAGCAATGACAAACCTAGACAGCATCCAGACAGCATCTTAAAAAGCAGAGACATCACCTTGCCGACAAAGGTCCGTATAGTTAAAGCTATGGTTTTCCCAGTAGTGATGTATGGAAGTGAGAGCTGGACCATAAAGAAGGCTGATCGCCGAAGAATTGATGCTTTTGAATTCTGGTGCTGGAGGAGACTCTTGAGAGTCCCATGGACTGCAAGAAGATCAAACCTATCCATTCTGAAGGAAATCAGCCCTGAGTGCTCACTGGAAGGACAGATCCTGAAGCTGAGGCTTTGGCCACCTCATGAGAAGAGAAGACTCCCTGGAAAAGAACCTGATGTTGGGAAAGATTGAGGGCACAAGGAGAAGGGGATGACAGAGGATGAGATGGTTGGATAGTGTTCTCGAAGCTACCAGCGTGAGTTTGACCAAACTGCAGGAGGCAGCGGAAGACAGGAGTGCCTGGCGTGCTCTGGTCCATGGGGTCACGAAGAGTCGGACATGACTAAACAACAACAACAGATTTCCAGAACCTTTGATTGCATCTGTCCAAATTATCTCATGAAGTTTGTCTGGCATGGCCCATTCCTACCTTTGCAAGGCAGAAGCATGCCATTATCCTCACTCGGTAGAAGCACTGCTCTTGTTCAAGTATATCAGTCAGCGCCAGTCGTGAAGCTGGAGTAGGGAACTTCTGGAGGGCCAAAATGGATTCTTCCTGTGCAACCACATCTCTCTCGTATCGGAGCTGGTACTGCCACATGAAGTCAGCCTGTTCAAATTCTACCTTCCTCAGTACAGACATATCCGGGTCTATTCTGATCCAGAGTAAGGGGGAATCAGCACTGAAAGAGAGGACCAGATTTTGTACCAGCACTTGTGTGCAGCAAATGTGTGCAGACGTTTTAACATGGGACGGCTAAAACATGGTACCTTAAAAAGAAACCGGACTCTTGTTTACTTCTTATTGCACAAAACCAACAGTTCTCGGTTAATACTGTCTGAACAATCATGCAGCTGCTGACAAACTGATAATATCAATCTGAACAAGCTTGATGACAGCTTTGCACTTCATAAATTTCCCAGTGGAAGGGGCTTCAGCATAGAAACAATGAACAACAGGCATCTCTGCAATTAAATCTTTCCCTGGTTTCCTTGCCTCCACTTCCAATTGCTGCACTTCAAGAACTTGCCCTACATTCCCCTGCATGTTCAGCACTGTAATAAAGAGACTGCGGCTCATATGGACAGTGTAGGAAGAAAGGCAGCATCTCCTAACAGAGCAGATACGTGAAACTAAGCTTCTGCATTCACAGTGCTGCTATTGGGACTGGGGCCAGTATGATTCTGTGTGGCTGGGACAATCCTATATAAGAGCTTCAGGGAAAGCAACAGCCACACGTTACTTTTCAAAATTAACTTACTCCATGGCAGAAAGATCCATGTCAACTTCCTCCCCATTCATCAGAGGAATCTTTTTCTTCTTATTTCTGCATTTCAAAAAAAAAGGTGTCTATTAAAATAATTTTCTCTTTTTCTTATTCTGCAAAAGTGTATTAAATGATGTTTAAATACAAGCAAGTTAACAAGGACACAAAGTAAATCCTCGATAATATTATAAATATCTTCATTTAATCATATGAACTGTCCCCAAATATTTTGCCCATCCCCATTTCAGAGGTTTATCCTTTTCCTAAGCTTCATACTTTCTACGCCCTGGAGTCACAAGTCATAATAATGCACCCTGAAAACCCCTTTATTTGGGAGGGGGAATAATACTTACCTGTTTATATTGTTCCATCACCAAGGGAAATCTATCACTAGAGTGGTTGAACAGTAGCAGAATGGTGGATCATTACAACACACCTTTATCCCTGAAGTAAGGATTCAAGGTCATATTAGTGACTAAGGGTTGTATCCTACTCTGTTGCTTGGATCCACTCGCACACTGAAGCTTCCCCTCCTCTCCTCCACAGACCCCTGCATATCCTGCAAATCTGCTCCGGAGAGTTTGGGAGGGGGGTTGCTCTGGAACAGCCTTGGGGGTACACAGGCAAAGGAAGGAAGTCCCATGCTGCACTGGATACAACCGTCAGATCTTCTTACAAATAAGATTCCTGCTTTAAAACAGTGGCCACAACAACACTAATCACCCCCAACCTGTTGGCGCGATTTTTGAAGCCACGATCCACATGGGAAGGAACCCACACAGCATTACCTATTTCTGGAGAATGAAACTGGCACTGGGAGGAGCCAGAGGGTGGGACCCCCCCCTGGTGGCTTGTAAGTTGTACAAGTGACAATAAAGTATTTCAATTCAATTTGGGCAGGTGTAGCACAGTAGCGGGACAGGGTGGCGCTGTGGGTTAAACCACAGAGCCTAGGACTTGCCAATCAGAAGGTTGGCGGTTCGAATCCCCGTGATGGGGTGAGCTCCCATTGCTCAGTCCCTGCTCCTGCCAACCTAGCAGTTCGAAAGCACGTCAAAGTGCAAGTAGATAAATAGGTACCGCTCTAGCGGGAAGGTAAACGGCGTTTCCGTGCGCTGCTCTGGTTCGCCAGAAGCGGCTTAGTCATGCTGGCCACATGACCTGGAAGCTGTATGCTGGCTCCCTCGGCCAATGAAGCGAGATGAGCGCCGCAACCCCAGAGTCAGCCACGACTGGACCTAATGGTCAGGGGTCCCTTTACCTTTACCTAGCACAGTAGCAGCTACCATACTGCTGACCTTAACGAGAGGAGTAAGCCAGAGAATATGAAAAACAAGAAAGCAGTAGTTATTTCAGGTATATGTTTCACAGGGGAAGTCTACAAATAGTCTAAACCCTACCGTCTGCTTTTCGAGTGGCAAGGTATGTCGTGTTTAAGGCTGTTTTCTTCTATCTGAAGCGTGTGGTTGAAAGATCCATCCAGCTCTTGCACCGTCACTTTCAAAGGGCCCTTAGAGGGAAAATGTATTGTATTACCAGAACAAATGTTTAAAATGGCTGACAGTAGCAATGATTTAACCCGAAGGAACATCTCCACTCCCGTCGTTCAGCCCAGACACTGTGGTCCAGCCTCTACGATTCTATGATTCTATGAAAGTAGGTTTCTAGATCTCAAAGAGTATGTTTGCCATCTCATTTAAAAATGTATTTCTGTAGTGAACAATAGGAAACGACAAAGTCAGGAGCTCACTGAATATTGTCTAAATGCCAGTTGATTCAAAGTTTACTTTAGATGAACACTGCAAATGAGTAAGTTAAAAGCATCACTATAATTTATATTGATTCAAAATAATCTAATAATAAACATGATGCCCAGCTACAGAAATTACATGCAAATTTCTGTATTTGCCATCGGCAACTATCCTTCTACCAGATATGGTTCAGAGCTCCATGCAAGTTGCCCACCAAAGGCTGACGGTACAAATATGTACAGTAAAAAGTAAAAGGCACAGAAAATATGTAGCAATTTTGACAAATTTCAGGAAAAAGAGAAAAACAAACTCACCACATATTTCTGTGTCCCAGGAGATGTATAGTCTTGCTTTATTTCTAACTCTAATACATTTCGTTTTCTATTAAATGCAAAGCTGCCATAAAACTTTACCACACCACTCTGATCTCTATGAGACTGAATAGGAAAATAACAGATAGGTTTACAAATATGCAAAAACTAAATTCCTCAAATTTACAGAATTGCAACAGTACATCCAAAACAACCACAACTGTCTTGCTTCAATCAGGCTTGTGACGGAAATTCTGATGGACTGTGTCCATAATTTGCAATTTGATGTGTAACATAAATGCAGATTTTGAAAATACTGCACAATTCCTTCAATTCCGACCCTAATGGGAAGATCATTCAACTTCTGAGCTTTCCCTCCCTTTCTGCATTTCGAAGCTCATAGCTTGCTGCTCTTGCATGAAAGCTGAGATTTGTAAGTCTCACGACTTGGTCATTATTGGAGGTGCGCATAGGGGAGTGCTGAACTTCCATCCCGTGTCACATACAACGATACACAGCGGGATCCATTCAGAGTCAGGTGAGTCATCACAAATTAGGGATGGGAAAGCATGTGTGGAACTGGTCCTTACTATCCTCCTCCAGACTTTCACTACAGCCCTAATCCGCGTGTTTAAAACAACGCGTAGAAGCCAGGGAAAGGAAGTGGATGTGTGCGTGCCTGCTCCACTCCAACTTTCCCACACTGAGCAGAAAGTTGTGAAAGGACTCATTTCATAAAATGTATGAATCGCTTGACTGGTTAAGCACATGTGGCTGAACACACAAGGTTCCCTGCAACCAGGAACCCTGTATTATCAGAGTAAAGGCTTGTAGCACAATCTACACACAAAAAATGCTTACAAGCCCCTTTCAAACCTACGTGCTGAACATGAGAGCGTGTCTGCTCTCCCTTCCCCACCTGAACCCCTGACACATTCTTGTATTTTGAAGAAATTCCATGGCGTTTTCATTAATTAGGGTTTTATGTCTCTCACCAGGACTTTTATTTAAAGCATTTGGTCTAACACAAAAAGAAGAGGGCATTTTAGTAGCAAAAGAGAGGTTTTGTGAAAGTCAAATAATGAACGTTTGGAAGCAAAAGCTTTGCTTTGATTAGCAAAGCCTTCAGTGTATCCTAACTCCTAAAAGGGAATCATGAATCCATACTACTGAACTGCTTATTTGTGTCTGCGTATTTACTACAAAAGACTCCCTTTTCCAGGGTGCCTCTGTCCACCATACAGGACTTTGTGGAAACTTGGAAACTGACTTCAGGATGCACAATTCTCCTTGTGAAAAAAAAATCTACTACCATATACAAAGTATGTGAGAATGAAATCCACAGTTCTGAATGAGCCCCTATAGAAATACCAGACACTGATTGCATTTGTTTCTGTGAACTTCACTCCGTATAACTCTATTTTGCCTTTATCAAGGTGGACTGAAATATTATTGAAAGCACCAGATCAGTATTGCCAGGCAGCTTTGCAACTGCCAACTGAGTTCCGCACCAGCCAATCTCTCTGCTATTCATTTGGGTGATTTAAACTACTTGTACATAGACCCAAGTGTTTTGGTGCCAGGGTGAAATTTTTGGAATTCACTTCTAAGGATGCACCAGACTGTGGCATTTTCCATATCTGCCTTAAGAATGTTTTTGAAAATCCTCTGGATCCTTGCTGTGTAGCTTGGCTCTGTGGTTTGTCTTTCAGAACACTGGTACGAAATGCTGCAGTTCTCCTCCGACAGTAGCATCTTGAAAACTAAATAATCAGCCACGAGATGCAATTCAAAAGGGACAACAGCAATTTGAGCTAAATCTTAAACTTCACTATTTGAAACTCTCTAGACAAATTTAAGGCTGCTTCTTATGTCCCGGTGTATTCATTTAACGGGCCAAAGAACAGCTATTTTTCATCTCCTTTGTTACTAGCCCGGAGCTAGAACGAAAAAGGATACACCCATTGCTTTATTAACGGTTGAATGTCTTTGCCAGAGACATTGGAGATGGATTTCAAAAATCCAGATGTGGAAACCAGCATCTGACTCCACATATGAGACTGGAACTTCTGAGATGAGGCAGTGCTGGCCAGGCTCAAGAGCTTGTTGAAAACCTACGGTGAAATTAGCCTCGGTTAGCAATCAAAACAGGCCCAGTGATTATAAACTTTTAAGAAATATCAGTGATGGTAATATCATAGGTACAGTTCATTGGAAACAAAATCAGATAGGACCCAAGGTGATTCAGACATTAAGTTCAAACTCTGCACTGCTAGATGGGCTAGAGGATTTCAAACCACATCTCTACCAAAGGGGATGGTCGCATTTCCTGCAACTATTTTGAAATGAAGACGCGACAGAAAAGATGAGGGGTTTTTTTTGCAAGCAGATGTGGTGCCTTGCTGGATAAACCCATGTCCCGTGTTATACAGCACCCTACTTTCCACAGCGGGTGGGACGCGGGTGGCGCTGTGGGTAAAACCTCAGTGCCTAGGACTTGCTGATCGTAAGGTCGACGGTTTGAATCCCCGCGGCGGGGTGAGCTCCAGTCGTTCGGTCCCAGCTTCTGCCCACCTAGCAGTTCAAAAGCACCCCTAAGTGCAAGTAGATAAATAGGTACCGCTTTATAGCGGGAAGGTAAACGGCGTTACTGTGTGCGGCACTGGTGCTGGCTCGCCAGTTGCAGCTTCATTACGCTGGCCACGTGACCCGGAATTGTCTTCGGACGGCGCCGGCTCCCGGCCTCTTGAGCGAGATGAGCGCGAAACACTAGAGTCGGTCACGACTGGCCCGTACGGGCAGGGGTACCTTTACCTTTTACTTTCCACAGCAGCCAGCCAATGCCTCTCGAAGTTGGAAAGAATACCATAAGTTGGTGGCCTCTTCTGATGGGACCTGTGGCCCTCCAGATGTTGTGAGTTCGAATCTCTTAAGCCTCAGCCAGTATGGCCAATGGTCAGGGATTATGAGAGATGCAGCCCAGCAGCATCCAAAGGGTCACAGGATCTTCAGCTCTGTCTTATTGCATTTACTAGCACTGTCTCTATACTGGAAATCACATTTAGCTGCGAAGGTTCATAACTTTTGATATAGTCACTGTCTGCAAGTGGCTTCCTTTACCATATGCAGAAATTAAGCTGCTGAAAGTGTTTGCCTAAAATGTTTCCATTGAACAAAACGGTTCTCTGCAGGAAACAGATTGAATCATTTAAGTAAATGGTGAGTACCCTAGTTTTTGTAAGCCGCGGCCTGATTTCCATGACATGTGATCCATGACACAAAGAGGAAACCTCGCTTCCCGGGTGTGGTTATAAATCGGCCCAAACCACACCAATCAATTATACAAACAGCTAACCACGCTGAGAGGTGCCCATGCAGTCTGGGCTGCAGAGAAAGTGAGGTTAAGGCAATATGATGCAGCTATAACGCTGAAGGGGAGCAGATGCAGGCCTCTAACACTATCTGACAACTTCATATGTGATGCTCTGACATAGGATTCAAATATAACAAATAAATACAAATCGATCAGGGCACGAAAAACTGAATGCTGGCTCTCCCTTAACCATGGTTAGGTAGATAATCAAGGGCAGTCAGTGGGATCACACACTCTTTTCCAGCAGTGACATGAAAAACAATGCATTGCTACACATGCCTATACAGAAGTAAGTCTCAGTGAGTCCATTGTGGCTTACTCTCAGGGTTAAGTATGCATGGGATTGAAGCTTAATGAATAGCTTATGACCAATGTCAGCTTTGGTTAAAGGCTAAACCTCTTAACTAGGTTTTGTTAACCATGTTCTTGTTTACAAACCCTGGTTAAGCAAGTCAGAGGTAGCTGCAACATAAAATATATTCCAAGCTTGTTTTGATGCCATGTGGATGACAGTATACAAGATTTAACACCTGTACATGTATTTATCTTGGATGACAACACTTTGGTCATTAAAAATAAATAAATCAATAAAGTTTGTTTTAAAAAAGGAGAGAGGGGGAAGAGGTTGCTAACCCATGATTCTCTAGATGTTGCAGGACTACTCCCACAATCCCTGACTTTTGGTCATACAGTGGTGCCTCGCAAGACGAAAAGAATCCGTTCCGCGATTCTCTTCGTCTAGCGGTTTTTTCGTCTTGCGAAGCAACCCCATTAGCGTCTAAGCGGATTAGCGATTTAGCGATTTAGCGGCTTAGCGGCTATTAAAGGCTTAGCGGCTAAGCTGTTAAAAGGCTATTAACGGCTTAGTGCCTTTGAAAAAGGGGGGGAAGCGGGGGGGGGAATGGCGAGACTCGCAAGATGTTTTCGTCTTGCAAAGCAAGCCCATAGGGAAATTCGTCTTGCGAAGCGCCTCCGCAACGGAAAACCCTTTCGTCTTGCGGGTTTTTCGTCTTGCGAGGCACCACTGTACTGGCTAGGGCTGATGGGAACTGTAGTCCAAAAACCTGGAGTGCCAAATCTTAGTCACCCCTGTTGAAAGCCATTAATTGAAGATGGTGCTGATGTCAGTACAGACATTAATTAGGCGGGGGAAGGGGGGGGAGTCTGCTCTACAAAGAGAGCCCACATTTATGGTTGGCAAAAAACTTATGTGGCCAAGAGGAAGTTCATGGTCTGTGGGCACCATCCATTTGTGTACAATGGTAATAAGCTTCATAGTCTACTTTTAGGGTCATGTTTTATATGGAAGGCACTGAAATTCAAGTATTATTATTTTTTTTAAGTAATTATAAATAGGAAATTTTAAAAGTGTCCAAACACTTACTTGTAACATGAACTCCATGCTTATTCTGTTTTCTATGAGTCTCATGACGAGGTGGGCTTTGCACTGGAACATAGTGTAGTACTCCCATGATAATGTGTGAGGATGCTTTATAGAAAAATGCAGGTGTGACGCAGGGCTGGAAAACGAAAATCAAGATCATTGCAGGAATATTTAATTTTGCATTTTAAGGGAAAGTCCCACATACAGAAGAAAGTGCAAAAGTAAAAATTCAAAGAGTCAGACAGGATTCTTCTAATCCAGCAATTGAAAAGTACTAATTAAAACTCTGATTATATTAAGAACAGGGGCTCAAGAAGTACACTTACAAATTTTACTCAGTGTTTTTAAAAAAATATTCTCAGGTAAACTTTAGGTGTAAAACTAAAACTATCTGGGTAAATTGCAAAATATGAAACATTCAACATCGGCAGTAAATTCAACTTCTGGCTGTAACAATCTATGAATTGTTCAGACAGGAGCACAGAAGGGAGGAAAGAGGAAAAATAATGACTATCCTATATTCTCTTTCATTGAGTACTTTAAAAAAGATATGAGCAGTCTCTTTCGGCTAAGGAAGACAACAGTAATTACAATAGGGTGGTATTCAATTAAGTTTACTCAGAGTAAAGGTAAAGGGACCCGTGACCATTAGGTCCAGTAGTGGCCAACTCTGGGGTTGCAGCACTCATGTTGCTTTACTGGCCGAGGGAGCCGGCGTACAGCTTCTGGGTCATGTGGCCAGCATGACTAAGCCGCTTCTGGCGAACCAGAGCAGCGCATGGAAATGCCGTTTACCTTCCCGCCAGAATGGTACCTATTTATCTTCTTGCACTTTGACGTGCTTTCGAACTGCTAGGTTGGCAGGAGCGGGGACCGAGCAACAGGAGCTCACCCTGTTGTGGGGATTCGAACTGCCGACCTTCTGATCAGTAAGTCCTAGGCTCTGTGATTTAATCCACAGCACCACCCGTGTCCCTCCTTACTCAGAGTAGACACAATTAAATTAATGGACCTATCTTAGATACATTCATTAATATCAATGGGTCTACTCTGAATAGCACATGTTACTCCTGAACCTCTCCTTTGAGCCACCAAAAGCAGTCATCTCGCTGCTGGACCTTAGCCATCACATGGCACCTCCAAACTGCCTAGCCAGCAGTGCTTCAAGCAGCAAACCAGTGGTAAGGAGCCAGTGAAAAGGATCTATAACTTAATGGAGAAGAGGTATTTAAGCGGCCTTTTGCTTTCAATTATAGCCTCTTTAATAAAACTATTCTCGGACATTTGAATTAGGCAACTCAAGTTGAACAACTGTTCCCTTTCATCTCATATTGCTTATAAATCCATGTTGCCATCCCAATATTACCAGTTTAAGACTCTGGATGTAGTATTTCAGCACCATTTAATGAGCAATGAAGTCACCTCCCTCCATATGGCTACACAGAATGAGGTTTGTCAGCCATATGCTCTAATTTATTAATTTTTAAACTGCAGTTTGCTCAAAGCTGATGTGCATCAGTCATTAGAAGGACTCTAGTGCTTGTAAAAATAGCAGAATGTGTGTTTTAAAGTGATTTTCACACCTGTAGCAAAATAGTTTCCCTTTCCTTGGAAAGGTTTTTACTCTACTTAGCATATATTTTGTTAATATACTTCCATTCTGTAATTCAAACAAGGCAAATGTTTACCAAGGATGTCCTTTATGGGACCATTAGGTAGCTGAGGTAATGAAGCCTTTGGCCAAATGTCTAATTACTCACCTGAAGAGTGTGTGTGTGTGTGTTCGTGTCTGTATTATTGGCCCTATAAATCTACTAAACATACTTGTCCTTTTCTTTTCCTCCACCAAAGATTGGATGAAGTAAGACTCCACCGGTCTTCAGTTCATACACCACTATCTTGTCCAGTTCCTGAAATGCAAATAATAATAATAACAATAATATTGCAACAGTGTATTTGGCTACAAAGAGAAGACAAGCTGTACACGGTCTTGTTGAAGCATATTAAAATTATGAGCATATTCAATTTGGCTTCCATCATTTCCTCCCCTTACAAATGTACCCATCAGGGGAATACTGTGCATTCAGATCACAAACCCTTCCCCTTTAAACTCAACTTCCACTACTTCACATCAAAGATAAGCAGGCAGAAACATTATCTGCAAAGAGCAGAATTGCACACCACTGTGGTTTTTCAAGTGCACTTCAGATAATCCTGGGGGCGTCCAAGAGACAGCTTGGCCACCACTATTAGTTGCCCCTGCAATGTGTGATTGCCAGAGAGCGCTGAATGCATTATAACACACACACACACAAAAACCTTCTACACAACCCTTGAAAACAGAGGCACTTTGCCTTCCTTTCAATCTGCTGCTTGGTACCTTACTCTCAGTGAACAGGATGAACTGTTACTGAAAAATTGGATGGGTTTTTTTGAGGGGGGGGCAGAACTGTAAAAAACACAGTGCAATATTCTGACGACAACATATGAGGCTGTTTAAAAGGGGAAATGAAGACAGGGTGCAGGGTTAGAAAATTAAATCAAGATCATTTGAAAGCTTTTTATGGCAAAATCCATCACACTTGTTGACAGATATAATAAAGACATGCAAGGAAAAGAGGCAGATGGTCTGGACTAATTCATAAACCATGCACTTGGCAGAAGGGTGTAGGACCCCCTAAAACAGAGGCCTAATTCTCACTAAGGTAGAAAACCAATATCTGGGCTGTTCTTTCCTCAGACAGCAAGTCAGGGCTCACATGACTGGATGCTCATCTGCAGGGGTGGGGAAAGAACTGCTGGGTCCTACCTGAACGGCTGTTCTGTGTCACTACACCAGAGCATCACTGAGGGGGTTTAGTGCCACCCTGTGGCCTGCAAGGGTGGGTAAGAACCTTTGACCTGAGGGTGGCATGGTGGGTTGCTAACACACTTCCAGAGAGAGAAAAATCTGTTCTGTTAATGCTTATGTAGCCAACCCAATATAACATAATGCTTCCTCAAACAGAGGAACAGATTGAGGTTGAATCCTGACAAGACAGAAGTACTGTTTTGGGGGGACAGGAGGCGGGCAGGTATGGAGGACTCCCTGGTCCTGAATGGGGTAATGTGCCCCTGAAGGACCAGGTGCGCTGCCTGGGAGTCATTTTGGACTCACAGCAGTCAATGGAGGCACAGGTAAATTCTGTGTCCAGGGCAGCTGTCTACCAGCTCCATCTGGTATGCCAGCTGAGACCCTACCTGCCCGCAGACTGTCTTGCCAGAGTGGTACATGCTCTAGTTATCTGCTGCTTGGACTACTGCAATGCGCTCTACGGGGGCCTACCTTCGAAGGTGACCCAGAAATGACAACTAATCCAGAATGTGGCAGCTAGACTGGTGACTGGGAGCGGCTGCTGAGACCACATAAAGACCTACATTGAAATACCTACATTGGCTCCCAGTACGTTTCCGAGCACAATTCAAAGTGTTGGTGCTGACCTTTAAAGCCCTAAATGGCCTCGGTCCAGTATACCTGAAGGAGTATCTCCACTCCCATCATTCTGCCCGGACATTGAGGTCCAGCACTGAGGGCTTTCTGGCGGTTCCCTTACTGAGAGAAATGAAGTTACAGGGAACCAGGCAGAGGGCCTTCTCGGTAGTGGCGCCCACCCCCCATCAGATGTCAAAGAAATAACCAACTATCTGACGCTTGGAAGACATCTGAAGGCAGCCCTGTTTAGGGAAGTTTTTAATGACTGATGTTTTAATGTATTTTTAATCTTTTGTTGGAAGCCGCCCAGAGTGGCTGGGGAAACCCAGCCAGATGGGTGGGGTATAAATAATAAATTAGTAATAATAATAATAATAATAATAATAATAATAATAATAATAATGTCACCCAAAGCAGCTTCACTGGTCAGCTACCCAGGGAACACTGTTTTGCCAAATATTTCTAGAATTGCACACATAGGTATTGTGTAATCTCCCACTTAATTGTGACAGCTTCACCTTAAAATGCGTCAAAGGCAACGATAGCTCCATTCGTGCATCCCCTTGTGTATCTGTGTAAAAGCATAAAGATGCTTTCAAAATCCATCGGGGTTCATTACCTCCTTGATCCAGTGCCGATACTCATTTACACCAAAGGTTTTCTTCATCCAGAGGCCATAAATATAGCCAGAGATTCCCTTCAACACCCACTCATCTGACCTGTAAGTAAAGAAGCAACGAGAGAAAAATCCCTCTTGATTTACAGAATCTGGACTCCGTGCTGAATGCACTCCTAGTGAAAATACTTTAAAAGCTAACAACTCTAACCATCTAAATAAATAAAGGACTAAAGAACCAAGAACAGATTTATATATCCTGGCAGTAAGTGACTTATGAAAGCCTTAAGTGTAATTAAAATCTAGGCAACTACATCTTTTGGTATTTTTATTTAAAATATTCTCTAGTATACAGAAACTTAAAAATCTATGTAAGCAAATAGACAATAAGACCTTGTAGGTTATCTTACACATTTAAGAAACCCCAAATGTGCTATGATTGCTGTAATAGCTATAGAATTTATCTGCATTTATGCTTAATATGATTCACATACTCATAGCCAAAATTCGACATGGGAGTTATCTATTTTAAGATGTACTCACCAAGACATTCTAGATATGAAACAGCCAAAAAACTGCTGGGCCAGAGCCTGAGCCAAACATCTCCTGGTCAGCGGGGTCTCATCTATTATCATTGCACTGTGCAAAAGGTTTGTGCTAAATGAAAAACACAAACAAGCATATGCACAACGGTGGCAAACAAAATCTTCAGGAGAAACAAAACCCTCCACCTCATTTAATCAAGTAAACATGAACAAATAATAGCAGAATTTTAACAAGAGAAGTATAAAACAGCTTTCTTACGTCTTATACGGGTCAGCTTCACATGCAACATGAAGCCAAACAATCACTAAGTGTGAACCAACAGGTGTGCATACTGAGAGTAAAAATCACGGCTGCATCCCTCCTTTGCCACATGCACTTTGGACTGTGGTTGCAAAATTAAATTTGGGAACATTTTAAAACACCCTATGTTTCTAAAACTGGCTGGTAGTGGCACCCGCCCTGTGGAACGCCCTCCCACCAGATGTCAAAGAGAAAACTTTTAGAAAACTTTTAGAAAACATCTGAAGGCAGCCCTGTTTAGGGAAGCTTTTAATGTTTAATAGGCTATTGTATTTTAATATTCTGTTGGAAGCCGCCAGAGTGGCTTGGAAACCCAGCCAGATGGCGGTTAGAAATAATAAATTGTTGTTGTTGTTGTTACTATTATTATCGTTATTACTATGCATTGGATTGAAGTCAATCTGACAATAATAATAAATGTCACAGGCATTTAACGTTTTGGTGCTGCCATGTTATTTACAATTCTTATCTCATCAGTCGATTCTGTGGCAACCTTTGGCATCATTTTATAAGCTGGAAACGGAATTGAAATGTGGAGCTAGCTCAAAGGCATCCCTTGCAAGCACACAGCTGAGTTTCAGCCAAAAGCCCAGGTCCCAGTATAATGCTATCCTTGGTCCTATGAACTTAAATGATGGCACTGAGTTTCCTTTAAAAAGGCAAAACAGCAAACACAAAAAACTTCTAGTGATTCAGACTGAAGTATCTCTCTACCAGCATGAGATACGATGAAGTGTGATGGATATCTGTGCATTTCTCAAATCAATTCGTTTTAGATGGGTTAATTCTAAGTAAAGGTAAAGGGATCCCTGACCATTAGGTCCAGTCGCGGATGACTGTGGGGTTGCGGCACTCATCTCGCTTTATTGGCCGAGGGAGCCAGTGTTTGTCTGCAGACAGCTTCCGGGTCATGTGGCCAGCATGACTAAGCTGCTTCTGGCGAACCAGAGCAGCGCACGGAAACGCCGTTTACCTTCCCACTGGAGCGGTGCCTATTTACTTGCACTTTGACATGCTTTTGAACTGCTATGAGGGCAGGAGCAGAGACAGAGCAATGGGAGCTCACCCCAATGCAGGGATTCGAACCGCTGACCTTCTGATCGGCAAGCCCTAGGCTCTGTGGTTTAACCCACAGCGCCACCCGCATCCCAGTTAGTTATAAGTACTTACCTAAAAATGCTCATGGAAGCGTAAGCAGCTACTTCAACGTAGGCCTCGTCTACGAAAACCGTCTTGAAACAGGAGTAAGGATAGCGGCACGTAAGTATCTCTTCATAGAATTCAAATACTTCATGGAGGTAAGATGTGGTGTGTTTGAGCAGCGGGAGAAGCTGGGGTAAACAGAAATGAGTCACCTACAACAAGAACAAGGGAGAAAACTTTTTTAAAAAACAAAACCAAAGTCAAGTTAGCAAATAGTTAAAAGTGAACATTAGAAAACGCTGCCAATGGAAAATATAAAGATTAGCAAGTTTGACCCTGAGGTCACCATCACTGCATGCATATAGCTTAGAGATGCAGAAGATGAGGTGGTGAACTGGCTATGCAGCTTTGCTAGTCCTCCACAGCTTTCCAGAGATCCAGGAAAACAGTTAACGTGAGGCACGGCCAGAGGCCACGTACAACAGCCTATCTGCAGTATGAAGTGTCATAAAGCAGCAAGCGTTCAAGTGGGTGTTCACGGTACTTCCAGCCATTGGAATCGACTGCAAGTTACAACAAGAATTGGTACTTCCCAAAGATAAGGCAATAGACTTACAACAACACGCAAAACTTTTATAAAGCAATAGTCAGGGGAAATAGTAATATAAATAGAGCGATAAATTTATATTCGGACATTAGGATTCTGGCTGTTGAGAACTTATTTTAGATATTATTCTATCGCTGGGCATTCAGGACAGGGAATATGATTTCTTAAGAACTAAGAAATATAACAGGACAAATAAAAAAAGCACTGAAAAATCCTATATGACTAATATAGCAAGAGGAAAACCCTAATCATAGGGATGTGGGTGGCACTGTGGGTTAAACCACAGAGCCTAGGACTTGCGATCAGAAGGTTGGCGGTTCGAATCCCCACGACGGGGTGAGCTCCCGTTGCTCAGTCATGTGAGCCCTGACTTGCTGTCTGAGGAAAGAAGAGCCCAGATACTGGTTTTCTACCTTAGTGAGAATTAGGCCTCTGTTTTAGGGGGTTCTACACCCTTCTGCCAGGGATGCAGGTGGTGCTGTGGGTTAAACCACAGAGCCTAGGACTTGCTGATCCGAAGGTCGGCAGTTCGAATCCCCGTGATGGGGTGAGCTCCCGTTGCTCGGTCCCTGCTCCTGCCAACCTAGCAGTTCGAAAGCATGTCAAAATGCAAGTAGATCAATAGGTACCACTCCAGCAGGAAGGTAAACGACGTTTCTGTGCGCTGCTCTTGTTCGCCAGAAGTGGCTTAGTCATGCTGGCCACGTGACCCGGAAGCTGAATGCCAGCTCCCTCGGCCAATAAAGCGAGATGAGCACCGCAACCCCAGAGTCGGCCACGACTGGACCTAATGGTCAGGGGTCCCTTTACCTTTACCTTTAAAACCCTAATCAATAACCACCCAAGAACCTCACACCAGGACAAATCACGTGGAATAGGAGAAGTGCCACACAGAGGCTGCCTATGAAAAGAATTACCTCATGCATGTAGGGATCAACAAGGATTTCAAATGGTCCGATGGCCAAGGAGATGTTCGATGCTGCAGTTGGAATTGTCAGCATATAATGGAAGGTCTTTTTTCTCATATCATGAGTATACACCGTTTCCACCAGGTCTCCATTTGAGACAGCCACCATTGTGGCATCCACAGTATATTCCAGTTTCCATGTGCATAGTTCGGAGTATGAATCAACACAAGGAAACCAAAACCTGGAGAGAAAGAGAGAAAGTGAAGTCATTGAAAACCGTAATCATCTTCCCAATCCAAGACAAATGTTGCTGTACTTGATGTGTAGGCATCTGGGGCCTTAGCTTTACCAAAACAGTTCAATCCTGCAAGCAGCTGACCCTTCCCAAATCTTTGATAATGGCATTCTGTCAATGCATAAACACAAAGAACTACAAAAAGCTAGCCAGCTTAGGACTCCCATGAGGCTGCTACTCCAAGTTAAGAAGTTCAGTTCTACAATCCTGAAAGACTGACTAGTCTGGGGAGGCTTCGAAAGTTCTACTTCAGAAAAGTACACTGCAAGGCACACTTGAAATATGTTTGCACCTTTGCAAGAGAGCTCCCGGGGTCCAACAGTGATGTCTTCAGTCCTTTGTTTTTTGTTCTTCTTGTTGTTGATACAGGAATGTACAGATTCATTCCTCCACCCACCCAAAAAATAACAGGGGTGGGGATGGGGAATGTATTCCAGTTCTCTTGAAGTGGTATAACATATAGAAAATGGAAAGTTAAGCAGGTAAAACGCTAAGATTTTTCCTTTTCTATTCGGACAGACTGCCAGTCAAAGCTTAGGGGCTTTCTCATTCATTTTAACAATGATAAATCAGACTCTGATAGCTCTGGAAATTAAATATACATTATTCAAAAGAGAAGAAAGGGAGGGTAATGAAGCACCACAGGTCAACTGACCCTATATTTACTGAGCAGCACGTAAAATATCTATTTTACTGAATGACCATCAATTGAAAAGCTGCCAATTGGCAATGAGTGCACACATGGGTTATTTGTTTTCTTCCATGTAAGGAAAACGCCGTGTCTGAATGGTCTTAAAATATTCTGAAATGACCGTAAAGCAAAATAGGACCTCATTTCCAACTCTCACAGCACTCTTCAATTTCAAGGCCCGTGGGAAATGGGAGCATAAGACTCTGCAACTCTCACCTTGTAGAATTTTGATACCCGCAAGAGAAGACATGGGCCCCTCTCTCTGCTAAGCTTCCTTCCACGTTGGGTACCACAAAATGAAGGCCTCCTTTTGGCTGGTCCAGAGAAAAGTTGATATGTACCTTCAAGACTTTTAATTCTGCAGCAGTAAAAGAACAACCACGTAATAAAATATGTATTAATCTGGTATTTCTGGGAGAAACTTGGCAAACCCACCATTAACTATTCATTAACTTGCAAAACCACTTTGTACTCAGAACTTCAATGAACTAAGCAAGAGAAAAAGATGAAAGAATGGAGGTGAGATCTTTGATGATGACCCAGGACTCTCAAAGCGAAACAGAATTTTCTATTATAAAACACATTTTATTGAGAATACGCGCGGAAGATTATTTTCTGTACACAGAAGCTAGTCTGTGAGGCTTGAAGTAACTCTTAAGAACTTGCCATAATTCACATAATCAAACAGCTTGCCTGATCTACGCCTCAAAATCAAAAGCGCTGCACCAGCATTGCAGGGCCATTGAAGCCCTGCCAAAGCGCAGCACGCCTGGAAAACTATTCTAGATTGCTAGCAAGTCTGTAGCACTTTCATTTTAAGGGTTTCTGGACTTTACCATCGACATGCTTCCAAAGCTCTGACGGCACCTTGATGCACAGCTCTCCATTTCCAGCATCTGGGTCCACAGCACTGACTGCAGCAGCATATGCATTGGAAAAGTAGTTGAGATTTCTCCTGCAACACAAAGGACTCAGAGTTCAAATTCAAAAAAAGGATTTGGGGGTCAAGGGACTTCACATGCTGCAAAAAAGCAGATGAAAAATGCTCACAAGAGAAGTGCTTAAAATTGTCACCTTTAACAGTAACCAACCTCGAAATGCCAACTCAACACTCATGGGCAGATTGTACACCTTCTTTGAAATGTCACAAGAAAAGCTTTAAACTTAACTGAGAAAGTAATTTGATAAGCTTGAGACAACTGCAGTGAAAATCCTCTCCATCGCTCCACTTATCTTGACTTCATGTGGCAAGGGCACACAGAGCAGGGTTTGCCCTACACAATGGAACTGGGAGACTTAAGCACATATGGAGGGAGTCTCCAAAATATGTCAGTCCCAGGCCACAAAAGATGTCAAAAGGGTAGGATCCAGCACCATCAACTGGGCAAGGAAGCCTAATCAGCAGCCAGCACGATTGCCAGAAAGTAGGCTGAGTATTATTCTGCCTCCTCACATTTGACACAATAATGGTCTGAATAACTATAGCGGGGGTCAGCAAACTACAGCCCCTGGGGTCCTAAATCCGGCCCGCCCGGCCATTTAGGAACCTGCCGCAAAGCCAAGACTCCCGGGAATGAAAGCAGGAGGAAGAGGCTGAGCGACGGCGGCTCTGCCAATCGCAATGCCGTGCCTGGTTTACCTCTGCGAGGCGCAGGGACGTCTCTGCCAATCAAACACCGCGCCTGGTTTACCTCAGCAGCATTTGATTGGCAGAGGCGTCCCCGCTCCGCGCTGAGGTAAACCAGGTGTGGCGTTTGATTGGCAGAGCTGCCGCCACTCGGCCTCTTCCTCCCGTTGCTGCCCTGGTGCTCCTGTGGGCCGGAGGGCGGAGCAGAGGGGCTCGCTCTGCCTACCTGCATCATGAGAAGCAGCGGCAGCGGCGGCAGCCCCTGGGAAGGTAAGAGCAGCACCCTCTTTCTCTAGGCGGGGAGAAAGCCTGTTTTGTGCCATCACTGCCAGCACTTCGGCAAATGAGGCAGGCGGCAAACTGAGAAGGCGGCTGGGGCTGGGAGGAGGACTACTTTGCCCCCCCTTGCCTCTTCTTCTAGCTCCCCACCCCGGTGCCGCTTCTCCGGAGCCACCACCCCTCCTTCGCCTCGGCCGTTCTTTGCATATTGAACTTGCCACCCTTATCTCCATGGGGCAATTGTGGGTCTGTGTGTGTTTTGGGGGGTTGCGGCAGCATGGTGGTGGGTGAGCTTGTCTGTTGAGGAGCCTTCCCCACACTGCTTTAATGCACACTATTTTATTTTATTATGCCTGCCCTTCCCCTGCCCATTCTTCCCAGTGTGCATAGGAATTGGTTCATTCTCCCCCCCCCCCCCAAAAAAAATATAGTCCGGTGCCCCACAAAGTCTGAGGGACAGTGGACTGGCCCCCTGCTGAAAAAAATTGCTGACCCCTGAACTATAGACTAGCCTGGGAGATATATTGATATCTGAATCCCCCTGAATGAAGTTGCACTGCTAGCCAAGGGACTCAGGAGCACGGCAGTTTCATCAGCGATATACCACTGAGTGAAACCGACATCGTGGTCTGCCCTCAAACCACTGCAGAGGGAGAAACAAACTACATCAGTGAGCGCCGATACAGCTTGTTTCTCCCTCCGCATCTTTAAACTGCTCGGCTGAGGAGCACCCAGTTGCCGCTCCCTTCAGCCAAGCATTTAATGTAGCCCCCAGTCCGGCACTGGCAGCAGGATGGGGGCTCCGTGAAACTGCCCACCCATCTGAGCGACCCTGATGTCTCAGCAGCATTGGATCGCTCAGTTGGGGTGGGAGGGGGGATGTTTCTTCTACGCCCCAGCTGCGCGAAACCCGATGCTGCTGTGGCATCAGATGGTTCAGATGGGGGGGGGTGGAAGAAGCCTCCCCCCCACCCCCATATGAGCAATCCGATGCTGCTGAGGCTGGCTGCGGCCAACGCAACTTGTTTCAACATCGCAGTATGTCGCCGAACCGTGATGTCTGGCTGGTGATACACCGTGATGTTGAAAATCTAACATCACCCATCCCTACTATAAAGGTAAAGGTAAAGGGACCCTGACCGTTAGGTCCAGTCATGGAAGACTCTGGGATTGCAGCGCTCATCTCGTTTTATTGGCCGAGGGAGCTGGCGTTATGTGGCCAGCATGACTAAGCCGCTTCTGGCGAACCAGAGCAATGCACAGAAACACCGTTTACCTTCCTGCTGGAGCGGTACCTATATATCTACTTGCACTTTGACGTGCTTTCAAACTGCTAGGTTGGCAGGAGCAGGGACCGAGCAACGGGAGCTCACCCCATCGTGGGGATTCGAACTGCCAACCTTCTGATCAGCAAGCCCCAGGCTATGTGGTTTAGACCACAGTGCCACCCACTGTCTACTATAGACTGCCTTATATTACTGAAACCATTCTTATTGTGGTGCTGATCTTTTCCTAAATGGATGATAATATACAATGTGCGAGCTGTATGTTCAGTTTTAACTTTTTGCATATTACATTTCAGGCCGCAAACGCATGGAAACTCAGAGTTAAAAAAGCAACCTTCCAAAACCAAGCCACAACGAATCCCATTCATTACCGCCAACTCATCTACATCCTGTTGCACTCTAATGGTGGTGATTTCACAGTCAATTGAGCTCCTTGGCTGGGTGGCTTTGCACCATACCCTTAACAGTCTTTTAAAGGCTGATCTAATGAAGAACAGAGAATACTCTTAGTTGGAGTCCTACAGCAAGTTCTTCACAGAACTAGTTCTACAAATCTGTAGCATTGCTTTCTTTCGTCAATGAGCTCAAGTTCATCTCCTAAGAGATACTTTTCAAAACTAGCAATATCATGCCTGAAACGAGTCAATAAAATTCAGCGACTAAAAGGAGGGAATAAAATTGCCCTTTCTTTCCCCGTTTGACTTAAAGGTTTATTAGATGTCTCAATATAGCTTACTTTTTTACAATATGCCCAACATGAGCACTATCCACAAGATTCAAACACAAAAAAGAAGTCACAATACTTTCTTTCCCACACCAACTCATCTTCCACAGAAAAAGGAGGGTTTTGTACAATGAAAGGGTTTGAGCCAAATTAAAACCTCACAAAAATCAGACATGACCTCATTTCAAAGCTTTCCTTCCACCTCATTCCCTACCCACCACATACTGAGTAAACTTCATTTTGAATTTTTGAAATCTAACGTGGAAAACTCAAGAGGCTAAACTGATTATTCATGAATAGCCCAGAGATTATTCATGCATAGTCCAGAGGATGTAAACACCTCAGTCCTGAAGGACAAACTTCAAGCCTGAAAGAATTTTTGACCATTTATTAAGAAAACATGTTAGCTCAGTTTTTAGCCTTTGATAATACTATGGCTGGTGCACAAGTGGTGACTTGCATGTATAAATAAGCAATTCCAGCTCAAACATCACAGGCAGAACTTTCACTACCATCTCACGCCTTCATAAAACATGGTACGCTTCCATGGAGTCAATTCATACACTCAGAAAGGAGTCATTGAGTGAGATGATCAACAACAATCAATGTTCATGGTGTGCAAATTAGTCCTAGCTTTCCAATTTTGCTTTTTTAGTTGTTGAAATATATCTGAATCTGAAGGCTTGGAGCATGTTACTACCAGCTAAGTAGCAAGAGGAACAACAAGAGGATACCCACTACAGTTTTTGAACAGCTTAGTTCCCGAACAACTCAGTACCCGCACACTGCAAACTCGGAAGTAAGTGTTCCAGTTTTCGAACTTTGCCTCGGAAGCCGAACATGCGCCTGAGCTTCCGTTTTTACTGTTGTGCAGCTCATTTGAGTCCCCCGCATAGTAATTAAGGCTTTTTTCATCTTGTTTTACCCTTGCGCAGCAAATTTAAGTCCCCCGCATTGTAATAAAGGTTTTTTTCCATCCCATTTGTATCCTTGAGCAGCTAATTTAATCCCTCCCCCCAACAATCATAATTAAAGCCTTCCGTTTCTGATTGCAGAGTTCTGAGGTGATATTTGGTCTTTTGTTTTTGCTATTTTTTGCGTTTTTTGTGTGTGGCTTTTTCATTTTTGTGACTGTGGCTTGTTGATTGATTGATTGTGTGACTGCAAAAAGGGATAAAAGCCCCCCATCCAAACAATAACTATCATCAGTGCAGGTAAGAATTTTTTTTAAAATTTTTATCATCTACAATACTGTCTTATTTATAGTACAGAACATTGATTACTGCTTTCATTTTATGGATCAATGATCTTGTTAGATAGTAAAATTCATGTTCAATTGCTGTTTTAGGGGTTGTTTTTAAAAGTCTGGAACAGATTAATCCATTTTGCATTACTTTCTATGGGAAAGTGCGCCTTGGTTTGGGAACACTTTGGTTTTGGAACAGACTTCCGGAACCAATTAAGTTTGAGAACCAAGGTACCACTATATTTCAAGTCAGAACTACCACATGCTAACTTATCACTTTACACTTTGCATTTGATATTTTACTGCCACTTTGGGGAGGTCCTTTTGAAGCTCCTTGCAATCCTTTTTGTTTTATTTTGTTTTAACCATCTTTAACAAATCGTATGCTAGGCCAGTAAATGCAGTCTATCTGTACACTTAATTATTTCCAGAATCAGACGCAAGCCCAGCAAAAATAAACCATCCGTAAAGCGATTCTTAATTTGTGCCTTGCCCTAATGGCATTTTCATATTTTAAATCTTTTAGTGATTATCACACATAATAAGCACCAGAAATAATAAACAACACAAGTCTCAACTGCAATATGAATTTCAGGGATATTCAAATCAACTTACTTTAAAGTAAATATGATACAGAATATTCTGCCTCTAATTATCACCAAGGGACAGCTTTCCGAAATGTCTGTATCTAGAGGGAACTTGTGGTTAGATACTAAATACCAGTGGGTTCACAGACAGAAATGGGCCATATTTTATGTAATGAGAGGTAGCCTCCTTGGAACAGAGGCTAGTATTTCACAGAAACCATTATTTATTTTGTTCTCTTTTTCACATGTGCATTGGTCCTGTTCAAATATGTGACTCACTGTAAGAGGAATCTATTTAGAGGACCATTATGGTGGAGGGGGTGTCTTATGGGTATGCTTACTTTCCATACAAATGGTAGCAGCTGAGAAGTGGAGATCTGGATTGACATCCTTTCACTATATATTCATTTGTATTTAACACTAAAGCTCCGTGGCACTTACTAATACTGAAGGCCCAAGTCTCAACTTAAAACCCGTGCAAGCCTGTTAGAAGCTTCTTACATACTGCTGAAAATGGAGTTTGTTAGGCACATGTAGTCTTTTATTAAAAATAAAAATGTATCAAAAATAAAGATGTACTTTGGCCAGGGGTACTGTTTGCTAAGAGAGACTCTGGCCTTTGTTGTGACAAAACAAAAAACCTTTCTCTGGGCTGTACATCTGTCATAGATTTATTTGGCAAGATGCATAGTTAATCTAGACTATTCCAGCAAACTATTTTCTTTCAAACTATTATTTCAGCTAGTTAAACTAGTTGGGGCCTCTTTCACCACACCCTTAATATATAAAGATGCTACATAGAAGAAATCTTTTTTAGGTGTCTTACTCAAAAATACACGTACAGTATTTGTAAATTGTGGGTCTAAGAGTTGATTGTTTCCTGTTGGCTCAGATATGCAACATTGCTATGTACAGTGGTACCTCGGGTTAAGTACTTAATTCGTTCCGGAGGTCCGTTCTTAACCTGAAACTGTTCTTAACCTGAAGCACCACTTCAGCTAATGGGGCCTCCCACTGCCGCCATGCCACCGGAGCACGATTTCTGTTCTCATCCTGAAGCAAAGTTCTTAACCTGAAGCACTATTTCTGGGTTAGCGGAGTCTGTAACCTAAAGCATATGTAACCCGAGGTACCACTGTATCCAGAATGGCAATTCTTGCTATTGCGAACCAGGATAGTTGGTAGACCACGAGACTCTTAATCTCGGTTGTGGGTCATGATGGGCCAAAGAATCCTGGATTGTAGTGGGTTGAACTAAATGATCCTGGTGGTCCATTCCAACTCCACAATTCTATGATTTGGTGGGAAAGCACTGTCTTCCTCCACAAATACATGTCTTAAATAAATCCAGCAAAGCTTTATTTGTACCACCCAGTGTCTATGCTTGCACGTGCATCCTTTTTATACAAGAGGGTATGGTGTTGTTGGGAGTCAGGCAGGCAGCAGGACACTAAAGTGTAAGAATGTGCCATCATTTCCCAACAATGTCCACTAAAAGAAATACTTAGCATCATTGTAACATTATCCCTAAATAGTCAAAGCACTTCACATACTTTATCTCAATAATCTTTCCAACCATCCTGCAAGACAGGCCAATGCTATCGTTCTCATCAGTGCTATTTTTCTTGAAAATGAGGTACTGGAACTCACTATGAACACCTCCTTCATTCTCTCAGAATGGCAATGGTGCACAGTTGAGAGGTGCCAGAACTGAGTTCCAGTGAGTTCCGCCTGAAAAAAAGCCCTAGTTATCATATTTCAGAGTGAGGCTGCAATCTGAAACATGCTTCATTGGAACCATTTCATTGAAATCCATGTCATATTATTTTGGGTCAGTATGGTTAGGATCAGGCCATGAGACAGTAGGATCTGGCCGCTAGGTTGAATTCAAACGTCCTCCAAACCACGGGCCCCTTTGACAGCTGGGTAAGGCTGCCCAATTGTGGCATTATCAAGATGTCAATTGCAGCATTTTCTTTTGCCTGCGCATTGTCTGAAAGTAAGCAATGCAGGCCGCTGTGAGAACAGGACGCTAGACTAGATGGATTTTTGGCTTGATCCCGGACTCTTCGTATGTTCTATATTATCTCAAAAACTTCAGATTTGTGAAATACTTCCCATCATTACTTCACTTTTGACACCTATTAAATGTGTTGATCAATCTTGTGCTTCAAGAACACTCATGACTCAAAGCCCACTTCATACCCTATCAAAAAAAAATATTGATCACTATTCCAGAGACGGTAGCAACTATGAACTATTTACTTACTGTTTCGACTCATGGTGACAAACCTCCAGCGTGGGGTCATTATAAATGAAAGCTGCTTCCAGATCGTTGACTCTCACTCTGTATATCCTACATTGTTTACTGTTCAGCTTGATTCTATTGAGATTCGCAACTGTGGGAAATATTGTCAGCTCCACGTAACCCTGCACAGATTTAAAAGAACAACATCAGGGACACAACATGCATTTTCTTCTTAAACTGCAGAAGTTTACACTCCAAAGAAATTTAGCTTTATAAATACTATTATAGCTTCAAAATGGGTTTCCTTTTGCATCAACTGAAAGGTTTAAAAAGCGCACCAGCTCTCACCAGGTTGCTTCTCATACTGCTTGTTAAGGACACACTCTGTGTCAGAAGTGAGAAAGTAACAAGAGGAGTGCAATATTCCCTTCAATCAATGAAGAAAGTCCTAGGTACAGCTAGGCTGACCAGATGCAAATGAGGACAGTGCTCTTACATCTTTAGCAGCTGTGCAGAAGGAGGAATTTCACCAGCTGCAGCTTGTCATTGTTGCAACTATTAAAGCAGAGGTGGGAAGTCTGTAGTCTTCCAGATGTCCTTGGACTCTAGCCCCCATCAGTCCCAGCTAGCATAGCCAATGCTCAGGGAAGATGGGAGCTACAGTCCAACATCTGAAGTCACCAGCACCCTATCCCTATATTAAAGGTACAGGAGCCCTGTTTGTGTGTTTGTTTTTTGGCCACCCTACATCCAGCATGCGGTGCCATGATTCTCCTTCACAGGAGAACTCTCCTTCACAGAAACTAGGGGGCACATTCCTATACTTTTCAAAACTTGTGATACTGCCTTGGGTCACATAACTTGTGATACTGCCATGGCTCACAGAAATACATTAGTGTTTTCAACCAGCCACTGTAAATTAATGGAGCACACATTATGACTTGGGGCAAGACATGAAAATGCTGCTTGTCCTGGGACACAACCAATCCTTTTGGTCTCTGGTTCTCCCCTTCCTATTTGTTCACACTTAATTCCAAGCTCACAGCAGCATTTATGAGAGTGTCCCACTTTTCCTCACAACTACCCTGCAACTTAGGTGCCTGGCCCAACATCACCGAGCAAGTTTCATAACTGAGCAAGGAATTGAAACCACGTCTCCTTGATCCAATTCCAGTGAAATCTATCACACCATATCAATTCTCCCTGTGCCATGGTTCCAGCATGTTTGGTTTTTTTTACTCGTTTCCTTGCTAAACCAGAAATGTTGTCATGGGCACACAGCACTGCAAGAAAATGTGGCCAATGAAAATTGGGACAGCGGGAACCAGGTCCTCAGAATAATGGATTAGGACAGGTGTGAAGAACCTTTTGCCCACCAAATGTCACTGAACTACACCCCTCCCCCAGCCCCAGCAACCATGGCAGGTGGCCAGGGATGATGGGAGTTGCAGTTCACCTGGAGGGCCAATGGTGGCTGACCTAACCTGCCTGATAATTTAACTGATAGGCAAAGCAATCCAAAGTGAAGATGGAAATGACTGGAACTGTGGTGTTGCAAAGGAGGGAATCAGCGGGTTCACAGATGCATTCCAAACCCTGCCAACAGAGAAGGTTGGGGTGGCAAGTTTTGTTTTTATTGCTACATCAGCTTCAGCCTGGTAGAGCTGAGGGGATCCACAGAGCTTCTGATCCAGCATACCCCAAGTGACCTGGGCTCTTCCCCACCCAAAAAAGGCCCCTTTCAAGGGCCTTCTGCCCATGTGACTGCAGCAGGGGCCACCATTGCAGAACCTTACACACAGACAGTGCTCATCTCTACCAGCAGCCTAACCACCTCCAGCCACCACTGGTTTATGTGTTTGCAGGGTGGGGAAGCTCTTGCATAGCTCAACATGATTACATCTGTACGTGTAGAATAATTTGGGCATTTTAGAGGGACTTTTAAGTATATACTTTTACATCACACTGTGAAGATTTTCCCACTAAAATTTTGTCCGTGTTCCCAGAGAAGCTACTCACACTAAACCCAACCACAGCTCCTTCACAGTAAATGTGAAGGTATAGCAACAAACAACTGGAGGCAGGATCACAATCCCATCAAAGCGAGTATGCCTTCTTCGCTTTGACCTAAAAAACAAAACCCCACCCTAACATAACTATTCATTCTCCCCGTGAAACCGAGGAAACAAGAGACACAACTTGGTTGGTGGCACTCATTCATCTGCAGCCCGGGGGTAAGCACATAAAAACAGAGCATGTGGAATATATTAAGGGTTCCTGGGAACACAAAAGCTCATGAAAAATGAAAGAATTTAGCACTGAAATCCATCAATCTCCATCAACACAAGGATGTTGCGCTAGAACCTCCAAACAAGAATTCAGTCATTCATGTTTTATTTGCTCGATAACTCCTTTCAGAAGACAGGAATTTTCTTCCCTCTATTTGTAAACATCGGGATTGACTACTGCAATGTGCTCTTTGGGACTGCTCATAAATGGCTTTCAGCACACAGCAACCTACCCTGTCAAGTGTGGAACAGCACTTATATGTTGATATCGTTCCACATTTTTTATGTAAGTATCAATAAAAATAGACCTATATAAAAAGTGTGGAACAGTATCAACATATAAAACCTGAGTAAAACTGCATCCTCTGCCTTTTAGCTTTTCAGTGTGATGGCACTGACTTTTAACACTATTTATAAACTACCGGATCTACAATTTGTAGATGAAGTGGGATCATCTCCCTGCCCCCCCCCCCCCATTAAAGAATTATGCAATGGCTTTGATGCTGCATATCTCAGGAAATACTTTTCCTGTTAAGAGCCAATCTGGCTATTAAGATCAAACACAAAAATCCTGTCAAAACCCAGCCATCTCAATATCAATTATACCAGAAAGTGGAACAAGGTTTTCTCCATAATGGTTTGAGTTGTGGAATTCCCTTCCAACAGAAACATACATGAGCCTCCCTGTGGCAGCTTTTGGAAAAGACCACAATATTTTCTCTTTTAAGAGGGCATTGCATGTTAAGTCAATTTTATTATCTTCTTTTTATGATGTGTTTTGAAGATTTTATTTTCAGAAATAAATTTTGCTGTTTATTAACCTGGGCCCATCCTAAGTAAATAAATAACCAATGGGAAAATGCAAAGTTCATCTGGTTTTAATATTTCTAATATTTGAATGGTTTATGCCTAATCTATCCCTGAGGTCTTGGCAGTGAAGCTGATCCTTCACACTTCTTAGGTGTGGCTTTTTTGGCTCCATAAACAATTCCCTGCTGTTGTGGTTGCAATCATTTTAACACGTTTCAGTTCAGGGTAAACTCTCACTAAAGTCAATTGAGGTAGCATGAAACCTTTGAGCACTTCCGCAAGCAAGCTGTAAAATTGTCAGTCAGTGGCAGTTGCAGGCCAGCTTGATGGTAAAGAACAAAAGGATAGGCTAGGCAGCTAAAGAAAAGGATAAAACTCCTCTAGAATAACCTCTCTGGCCATTGGTATTTTGTAAATATTACAGAAATGTAAGGTTGTTTGATGTCACAAACTGGGATGCATGGCATACATAGCATGAAGAAAACACAATTAACCAACTATAAAAGTGAATCCCTTAATAGCCAGAAGAGTAGAGGCTTATGACGTAGACTTTCATTACGTTAATTAAATAGGAACATGGGAAGCTGGCTTATACCAGGTCACGCTATTTGTCCAACTAGTTCAGGACTGCCTGGTCCAACTAGCAGTGGCTTTCTGGGGTCTTGGGCAGAAAATATTTCCCATCACCTGGTACCTGGTTCTTTTTGTTGGAGATTCCAGGGACTGGGCCTGGGACCTCCTGTACACAAAACATGTACTCTTCCTTTGAGCTCTATAGTCCCTTCTCCTCAATACACCATGGGTTAAGAACTTAATTTGTTTTGGAGGTCCATTCTTAACCTGAAACTGTTCTTAACCTGAGGTACCACTTTTAGCTAATGGGGCCTCCCACTGCCGCCGCACCACCACCGTGCGATTTCTGTTCTCATCCTGAAGCAAAGTTCTTAACCTGAGGTACTATTTCTGGGTTTGCGGAGTCTGTAACCTGAAACGTCTGTAACCCGAGGTACCACTGTATACTTACAACAACAGATTTTCTCTGGAAATTTATGTTGTTGATACAGACGACCTGGTGGGTTGTGCTGGGGAAAGGAAGAAAAAATTCAAAATAAAGATCTTGATGTGTATAAGCTTGCAGAGAACTAGAAAATAAGTTATCAGACCATCTGTCTGCCTGCACTCATGTGTCACATAACAGATTTTAGACGCAGGCCATCCTGGGCACTTCATCGTAAAGAATTATTGCACCCTCCATAAGTGGCCAAGTATCAAGCTGGTATCAAGTAAACAACGCCTATATTGTATGTGTGAGTATGCACCACATTTAACACTGCAACAGAGAAGATTCCTTCTATATATACTGAGAAAATATTATCTGCATTAATAGAAAACAATTTATAACATCAGTTGTAGGATCAGAAATATCAGTAAATTTTCTAATATTTCATTATATACTCAAGCAGCTAGACATGTACCACTGAAGCTTCTCTCCTGGGTGGGATTCTAGTTAAAACACATCCACCCCAGCAATTCCACCCCAAAGCAGCCAACTACAATCATGCAATATTTTTAGCACCCTTTCTCCTCTATAGTTCTCAGCTTGTTTGGCACTTCACATCACAATTAGCCATCACCAGAAACAAATGTAGGTAATTTCCAGTATTTTCTGTATCAAAAGTACAGTATTCTGAAGTCAATGCAATAGCATAACATGAGAAGTTAAGCTGAGATAAGAAAATATATTCTTAAAGAGCCTCAAACCAATAGGAATAATTGACAGTGGCTGAGGCAACCCAGGCCGATGGAAGACGCATTTCATTGTTGTTATTGTTGTTGTTATTACATAAAAATATTTCAGTTCAACTTGCTTGAGGATCATTCATGGTACTTTCATGTTCCAAGCAAATTTTGATGCCTAAGGAACTAAGGTCACAAGTCTAATTCTATGTACCTGAAAGTAGGCCTCACTGAATTCAACAAGACTTACCGTACTTTCAAGTTGAAATAGTTAGGAGTGCACTGTACCTATTTACATGTATCAGGGAAAAACCAAAAATGCAGTTTCCCACATTTTAATGGAATTGATTTATATTACCAAACTAGTTGTTAAAATGCAACTTCAATTTCTCTCCAGTTTCCTGACCACAATGTAGTTTTTTTAAACAACCTGCAGCTTTCTGGACTCCAAAGGCCTATTGCTTCAGTTTAAAAACATCAACCTATGGTCATAAGAAAAGAAACAGTAGCAGATACTTATAATTTATAAGGTCTTGGGCTCTCAAACCCCTTGTCTCCTTTCTTCCTGTTCATCATAAATAGTAGTACTGAACCTTGATGAAAATCAAATACACATCACAAGCCTCATTAGCAGTCTTTTCAAAGGTAACTTTAATTCTTCCTTTCTTGGCTGATTTCTTCCCATTAAAGATCTTTCACCAGAAAATTTCAGAATAGTCCAAAGAAATGTCCAAAGAGGCAACATTGCCCATAAAGCATTTTCGGAGTGTGAATACTTCAGATTTCGGGAGACCTAACCTACTAATACTGACCTCTTAAATTAGGGAGAATTATATATGTATCAAACTTAGTATCTGTTGTGCAACTTACTGACATTTAATAAGGTAAGGGGATCCTTCCTAGAAAGAGAACTTCTCCTACCCCAGGGTTAAAAGATGACGACTTCTGAATCCTCTAAAGACCTACCAAAGCAAACTAGATACATCTCTCTTTTTTGTGTAGGCATTTAGCTATTTACAACTGCAAAAAAAGAGAGAGATCTCTTGTCTTGTAGTCTATTTACTAAAGAAGCGACAGCAGTTTCCAGAGATTCCTGGCTAACTTGACAGACGTACTTTTAGAACAAAAACTGATTACTGACTAGGTTTCTATCTGGGAGAAGGAATCCCGACATAATGCAGTATGCAACCTTCCCGATTTGTGGGGGCAGCATCTGGACCTAGGAGCGGGCGAGGCTGCTGCTGAGCTGCCCCCAAACTATCCTATGGGTATGTAGTTACCCTTCCTTGAGCCAGGGCTGGGTACAGCCTTTCTCTACAAAGGCAATGCCAACAAGGGGACTCCTGATCTGCGAGGTCGCATCTGGTTTAAGCAGGTGCGTTGGCAGCTGTCAGGGCTTCTGGTCAGGTCTAGAAATATCTAGCCAGCATGGAGCCGGCTTCCTTTTGGAGCGTGTCTAGGAAGGGGGCGCTTTTCCTGTGGGTTTCCCAGGAGGATTCCTGTTTCACGGCAGGGATGTGTTGCTAGAATTGGGGTGGGCATGAGGGCTACTGAAACTCCGGCTAGGAATTTGGGGCGAGGAGGGAGAGCTTGTTCTGAGGCGAGGAGCTGCCGCAACTTCAACTCCCGAGGGGGGATTCTTCAGCGGGCGCGGCTGCCTCGTTGAGGGGACCGTCGCTAGTCCTCATGAAAAGCCAGTTGTTTTAGTGAGGCGGTAGGTGTCCTGTGAGCAAACAACGACGTCCGAGGGAGGCAGCGTCTTAGAAGGGTCCCGCCGGGGCCTGAGAGCGAAGTCTGGGCGGTCAGCGGCTCCCAGGAAGCGAGGCGTCTCTCTCCACGGCCCGCGGCTCCCCTTAGGCCCGCTTCCAAGTACACAATCAGCGGCTCCGTTCTGGCGAGGCGGCCGCCATTTTGCTCGCAACCTTTGACCTCACGTCAAAGTGGGCGGGAAGGTCGTCGACGCGGTAGGTTTGTGAAACCCCACCTCTCCCCTCGCGCTCCCGTTTCAGATTCGTCAGCGCGCCAATCAAGAGGCCGCGTCTCACGCGTACGCGCGAAGGCGAAGAATGCGCATGCGGAGCGAAACGAAGCCGCCTATTGGTGGAGCCGTTACCACGGCGACCTGGATTTGCTTTGGGGAAGTAGCTCGCGCCCGTTGGGAAGCTTGAAGGTGGTTTGCCGGAAGAGTTTCGCGCTCGCGCGCAGGCGCAGTGATTCCTCCCTCAGGCTGCCCTAAGGGAGCGAGGAGGAGCCAGTTGGGAAATAATTCTCATTTTCAGAGCTTTTTTTAGTGACCCTCCGTTAAGTTAGAAGGGGCATGTCTAGGTTTTGTAACTTTCCGGCACTGGGGTTCTTTCTTTTACAGAAAACACCTCAGGCTGCGTCCCCTTTGGGAACAAAATTAATATTTTTGTTTGCATTTAGAAACAAAATAAAATATAGCAGCACTCCTAGTGCTTCCCAGAGAAGCATTCTATGATCTGATTTGCAGATGTGCTTCTGAGCAGATTGTGCCTTTTTCCTTTTCATAGAGGAAATCTTCCCATTGACAGTTCATAAGGATAAACCTTCCATGCAAACGCCAAGAGCCCTGCTGGATCAGACTGTTGCTGTTGGCATTGTCTGGCGAGACAATGGAGAGCGCCTCTGGGGATGAAGTCAAACCACTCCATTACCAGCACCAAAGTGACCTTCCCGGGGTGCAAGTCTGGGCAGTGTGTGTGTGGAGGTCCTAGGCTGCCCAGACAAGACACACCCCACCCCTCACTGATGTGGTCCAAAGGAAAGCAGAGCAAGACATTTGACATCTGCACCATCTAAGGGGCTCCACTCTGGATTTGTGTAGGGTTTACTCCTGAGCCTTTTCTGTTGGAAGTGCCGGGGGGGGCACTGCACAGCTCCTGAACTGAGACAAACCTCTTCCAGGCAGCTTCCTTGTGGAGCGCAGCCCTGGACGTTCATAACCCTTCATTCCCAGTGCGCAGCAGTGACACATACCCGAAAATATGTGCACACTCAAACAGAGTAAAGCTGGAAGCTGAGGTGATGTGTGATATCCAAGTTATATTTATTAAGCAATATATTCTGGGCAAAGCAATCATGGCGTCCTCTCACATCTTCTCCAAGAGAGAGTAAATAGTACAAAAGTACAATCCAATGGAAGAGATAGGACTGGCTTCTGTTCCCACACTTTCCAAGCATGGAATGTAAACACAGACATGTAACAATCACACATCCAGCAACAGGAGAATGAAAATGCTGACATCCTCCCCCTGGTAACCATTGCTGCATTAACACAGCTGTACACAATCTAACCCAGTGGTTTAGGATCAGAGTTTTCCTTCTCCTAGATGGCCAACCTTCCCTGGTTGATAAGCCTCATCTGCCCCTTACTTCCCTCTGCAGCACATGCAGAAACCACCTGCTTGAACATTTGATCCCACTATTGGTCTCTTCCGCTCAACCTGCCGGAGCCTGCCTGCTTCGCATACGGGGTAAAACTATAGGCCCATCAAATTTAGCATCCTGTTTCCCACAGAGGCTGATCATTCCCATAAGGGAATGAAGGAAATAGCCCTCTCCCATCATTGCTCCCTGAAACAGTAACAAGTTGCACCTGAACCTGTAATTGTCATACAGCTATCATCGTAACACATGTATTGAGGCATGGATAAAGTTACCCATGTAAACCTGTCAACACCCTGTCATGTTCAAATGCACTTACCATGCGAGTCAACATTACCTGTAGCATGCTGCCACAGTGCAAAGTGTGTTTGAAATGTGACAGGGCATGAGTGACATGCTGCTACACAGAAGCATTTTAGCTGTGACCCACATCCAATGTGTTTCATCCACAGCAAGGAGTCTACAAATAGGGCAAGACCTGTTTAGATATCATTGGCCAAGTCCAAAGAGATAGCATGGTGACCTGTCTCCCATCCCACCCCAGCCCTGTATCACAAGCAGGTTTTAAATTTTGATTTAAATATGTCTTCTGTGACTGAGATGGGTTGCAGTACCATGGGCAAGAAATATATAAACACCCCACATGTACACATATCTCAATTTCCTTCTTTCAGTGGGTTTTGTTACTGGCCCCTCTACATATTACAATATGATACTACCATCAGCTTTGCCATCAGTCCAAGAGATTTTTACCTCTGAGATTCCAACACAACTTTATGAATAAGGTTTTAATAATAACTAGACAGCTGCAGAACATTTAAAGAAAGTATTTGTACACTGCATTTTTAGCTTTTCAAAACAGTTCAGTTTTATCTATAAAATAATTCCAATGCATTTCAACATTGTTACATGATTAACAGAAAATCCCTAGGATTTTAACCATTGCTGAAAAAATCCCAACAACCCCATTCCAAATTTGAGCCACCAATCTGTATGTTCTCTTCAGTCAGTAATCAGTATTACTTCTTATGAAACGGGTCTTCTAGAATTATAAACTTTAAGTCCATTCTGCACTGAAGAACGAGCATATTTTGTCAGCAACGTACCAATCGTTTGCTTCTCTGAACATAAGTCCCTGAAAAAGAGAATACAAGCACTATTAATGCAACTTCAAAGACCACACAGAAGGACCATTTGCTTCAGTTACTTTTAAAACACTCCAAATCAAATTATGGATTTATCCCTAGTATTACAGTGCATCATATCAAATGCCACACACTCTGGATTGAAGAACAGCAGTGGAAACAAAGAGCAAAGTAACAGGAAAAGGTGCAGAAGGAAATGAGAAAGTTGGGTTGTGAACAGCTTCGAAAGCAAGGAGACTTAAGTTTATGCTGCAAAAAGTGAAGTCATTCCATTAAAGGATAGGAAGATGTTCATGGTGAATTGTGCCCCGTGAAACAAAAAATTAGGTATGTTTGTGATTCTGTAACATTCAGTATTTTTATTACTTACTGTATATATGGAGCTATATCAGCTTCTGTCCATTTCTCCCTAATAGCGAATAAACTGTTAAATCTTTCCTGGTTATCTTCTGGTAAGTCTTCAACATTTAGCAAGGAAATGGTTTCTGGTCTGGAGGATTTGTCCACAAGAGCCAACCCCTTGAAAGAAGAAGATATAGAAAACAGAATCATTGCATTTTGTCCTGCTCTTACTTTGAAGAGCTCAGGGTTGGTGAACCCTCACCTTTCCTCATCCTCACAAAAACCATAAAAGGTGGGTTTTGAACTCTGGCCTGATCCACTCAAACACAGTGAGTCTCCTCCTGCAGAGCAGTTCCATTTTCTTCTGCCTTGAGAGCACCAATTCTACACCTGAGACACGACGTTTCCATGGATGTAAATTGCTGGCTTTATTTTACCTTTAACTGGTCCTGTCTAGTCGTCATTCCTTCAGGGACGCTCTGCTGCCATACTTCCTGGAATTCTGCAAGACTGAATTTGACTGCGTTTTGTAAGAGCATCTGTGCTGTTGCTCTGCATATCTTCTCTTCATTCATTTCAAAGTAAGTCTCGCCTAGGAATGAGTATTAAGAAAACCAGAAATTATGGGTGGTAGTCAACTAAATTTTACTCAAAGCAGACCCACTTAAATAAATGAACGTGATTAAATTAGGTTCATTAATTTCAGTGGGTCCACTCTCAGTAAAACATAGTTAAATACCATCCTTTATGTATCTGAATTCTTAAAAAAAACAGTCACTTTAAAAATTATGCAGTTTGGGCTAATTTTGATATATCGTAAGTGTGCCCTAACAATGTATATTCACCAGGGAGTATGCTGTCAGTTTTAGAGTAAAATTACTCTACAAGTTAGGGACCCAACCACCGCCACGCTCCTTCTCCCTCATCCTATGCCCTTTTCTCCTTGACTGAGGCTTGGCTGCAAGCATGTGGCACAAACCTGGATTTAAACTGGATGATACAGGGACCTATGTAGTGTACATGAAAAGGCTTAAACTTCTAGGCAAGAATTTAAATTTGCAGAACAGTAACTGTGTTTCACAGCATAGGTATAAACAAACAGGTTGTCTCTATTACCGCTAATTTGGCACAAATGCTACTCACATTTGACCAGATACACTGCCTTCACTTTTGTCAACCCCTGCCTACAACTACTTAATCAGGAGCTTTAACATTATTACTTTAAAAAAACATGCACTCATGGAACTAACTTACCTTCATCAATGTATCTCTTTCCATAACTCACGAGAATGTGCTCTATCATTTCCCTGGAACAAATGTTTTGTCTACTGTTAGTATATGAACAAAAATTATATTACCATATGTTACAGAATTTGGCCATCTCAGTTGATCCTCATATTTCTTCAGGTTTAAAAAAACACACCTGTACTTAAATTTGTAAATAGCAACTGGGTTTTCCCCATTCTCCTACTGTTTTCCAGAAGCTGTGCCTGTATTCCATTCGTTATGGTGCCAATGGGAACTCTTTTTGTCTGTTTGGGGATCATAGCTGCATAATTGGGGACAGGGTTAAGCATCTCCATGTGTTGATGTTCCACTCATAGCTGTCAACCTTCCCTTTTTTTGCGGGAAATTCCCTTATTCCAGCGCCGTTTCCCGCTGCTATCCCGGATTGTTAGATATTCCACAGACTGTCCCCGGGACAGGTGAGGCTGCTGATCCCTTATTTTTGAGGCTGCTGATCCCTTATTTTCAAATCTGAAAGTTGACAGCTATGGTTCCACTGAACATCCCCTCCAGCACCTGTTGATATTTTATGTATCTGAAGTGGTCCAGAGGATGGAGCTGTTATAACAAACAGAACAAGAGCAACTTCAGAATGAAACATGGGGTTGAGGGTGGGCCCTTCTATTCTGAACTAAATTCTGGACCTTACATTTTTACGCAAGGGCTAACAAAAGAACTTACTTGGGCTCTAAAGGTCCGAGTTCTTGAAGACATATGCTTAAAGGGACCTTGCTGAATGGCCAGGACTCGGTATATATCAATTGTGTCACATGATTCAACAATTTCATCTCATAATCAAAGTCTAGAATCCGCCAACAACCTGCCAAGCAGAGAAGCAAGGTCATAATCAAAAACCAGCAGAAATGGTAAAACTTCTTCTATGAATCTTCCACATCTTTTTAAACAAGAGGCACTTGTCATATGCTAGCCAAGTACCCATTGTTATGCTACCGGGGACAATTCATACACTGCAGATATGTTTTGCATAGTTGTCCAAAAAAAGGTTCTCTTCTATGCACACGCATGCACACACACACACACACACTCCTCTACATGCACACCCAACTGGTGTTCAAGATTACAGCCTGTTACTTTGTCTCATAGAACTCAATGGGAGCCCCTGAAAATGGAACCCGATCTTATCTGCACAGCCTCTGTCCTGAAAAATGGAGTGCCACACAAACAGAGCACAAAAAATGGCTTTTAATAAAAACTGAGGAAAGTAGGCTAGAGTAGGAATAAGAAGATGCTGTGCTGCTTTTCTGGAAAAGAGAGCTTCCTACAGTCACCATAGCCACAGTGGTCAGTCAAAATAAAATACGCCCATAATTATCCATCAAAATCCTTGCAAGTAATTTTAATCCACTCTTTTTCATGTTACAATACAGAAGAATTAAGTGAATCAACCTTTAAAGCTCAGAAACCTTTAGATAAGAAGGAATTCTAAGAGGCAGGGAGAAAACAATGCAAATAGACCCCCCACATTAAAAATATGAGCTCCAGATTATCTCCAAATACCTTCAATTTGGCATGCTTTTAGAACCTTCAGTTGATCCATTATTTCTTCCTCACTTGCTTGGACCTGATCTAGTAACTCTTCTGTTGTGTACTGTAAAAGACACACAAAAGTATTAAGCCAATATTTATTCTCATACTAGACTTTATGACTACCTGTCTGTAATGGTTATATCCAATGAATTTATACTGTTAGCATGCAATGGGACTGCTTCTCCTCTCCTGTGACCACCCCCTTCTCTTTTGTTAGGTTGGGCAAACTCCAGAACATATTGGGAGGGATGTGGGGGAGGTGGAAGTTCTCGCACTAATGGGATAACTACATTTTCTTGGATACAACCCCGAATCTCCATTGACATTGATAATGCTACATCCCACAGTGAGAAGGGGGTGCAGGAAAGAGAGATAATGTTTATTACTCTCAAACTGGAGTTTGAGAGCACCAATCCCAAGTGCTTGCAGCATGCAAGTCCTACATCAGCACATGCTTCACTTATCATAATGACAGATACTTAAGTAACAATGTCAAAAAGAGGAAACAAAAAAAACCCCATCAACTTATTTTTAATATTTGTGAAGTAATTCAAACTCTTCAAAATATAATTTTTCTGACCACCTTAATTGTTTTGAATTATGTGTTAAATAGAAGTAGATTCCCATCTTCTTGAACACGATATCCACTAATCTATTGGTTATAGAGAAGCCAAAAGGAATGAACCTTCTGGTACTCTTGGAGCTAGCTTTATGTTTTGAAATATAAGCCTTTGAGAATTAGCATTGGGTAACAGAGAAGATGAAGCAGAGGATTCAAAGTTCATCTCTGCTGTGAGCTTGTTAGGTGACCTTAGCCAAGTCTCTCTCCTTTCCTACTCAGCTCACTTCCACCAACAGGGAGAGAATAATACACACTTTTACCTTAGAGGATTGGTGTAAGGTAGGGCAGTGTTTAATATCACTTGATATTCACCAGTTACACTCATTACCTTGCAATCATTTAATAGCTTCATTTCTATTCTTTCACAAGAGCAATCTAAACTATGCATTTTTTAAAAGCTGATGCCCAAGAAGCTTTTCCACCAGCTCCTCTCCCATGTTTACCTTTGATTTAGTCGAACTTCTCTCGTTTTCACTGTCTGGTCCTTCATAAGGATTTTCCATCAGAAGTTTCTTGAGTTTCTTTAACTTAGGTCGGCATCTTCTTAGTTCCCAGTAATTATTGGAGAAGCCTGCAATCTATAGCAATAGCCTTAATTGGAATTTGCCATGACTAATATTTAAATCTGTCAGTCGCAGACAGAGATCCCCTGATCAGCATCAGACCTTGTAATGAAAATATCAGGATGCCCCTCTGTTTGGCATATTAGATGCTCCTTCAGAGGGCACCTTTCCCGTTTCCAATGGAAGGTAGCCATTGAGGTGGTGAGAAGAAGAATGAATGGAAAAAGGAGAAACGTGTTCCCAAAAGCAACAACTAAGAAAATTTATAAGCTCAATGTGTTGCAGAACACAAGTTTCATCTGCGGGAGCAATCTTAAAACTTCAAAATGTTGTAGAACAGCTGAAGCTGCTTGCACAAACATTGCTGCCTAGCTGGTACTGTAGGGAAGACCCTTTTGCAGAACACATTTCTCCTTTTTCCATTATTTATGGTTCCGTGCCTCCTTCCTGTTCTTTTTGCATTTGGGCGATGGCCAATGAAAAACAAACAGGACTTGCCCTATGAACGTGCAGGGCTATAATAACTCCTGTATCTGCTTCATGGTCTTCTTGCCACCAAAATGGCAACTTTCAAATAGGAAAAGAATTCATGCTAGTGTTCTGTCACATACACTTTTTCTTTAAGACAAATAAGACGCTTGTAAATCATGCAGCTAGAAATGGGAAAAAATAATAATGCTATGTATGGCACCTGATTTGAAACTGGGTCATCCAACCACCAAAACCAGCTCTATGTTCTAATTCCTATTCAGCCATTAACTTTTTTATGTTATCTTGGATCAATCCTCCTTATTCCGCTAAACCAAATTATAGAATTGCACTAAGCATAAGACAGGGCCACCCCTTATAAACCACTTTGAATGCCATGGAAGGAAGGAAGGATATAGATGTGATAGATTTTTTAAAAAAGAGTATATAAATGGGAGTGGGTTAGAACCTACATTTTCAAAGATACGTTAGCCATTTGCAGTTGGCTTCAGAAAAGTCTCTCTCTCTCACTCACACACAAAATACCTGAGTGTAAAGTATATTAGAAGCTGTCTTGATTATACCAAGCTGCTCTGGTGTTTCACAGCCAGGTATGAAAAGCAATGTATTAGAGGTATCTGCTATTTTCATGTCATATGTTTTATCTTTACTGCATAACACAGCATGTTCATCGCGGTCTCCACGGATCACCAGGCTGCAAAACAAAACAAAACAAGACAATTAAATACAGAGTCACTGCAGCAATGGTTTGTTTGGGTTTTTAAAGCAGCATTTACTTCTGAATAGCAAGCAAACTTTTAAAATAATGAAAGGATGCTAGGTTTCAATTGTTACTAATGTTACTATATATCAAAACAAAAAAAATTCCTTCCAGTAGCACCTTAAAGACCAACTAAGTTAGTTCTTGGTATGAGCTTTCGTGTGCATGCACACTTATATATCAGGATATTATGTATAAAAACAGCAAATTTGACGTGCTCAATGTTAAAAACAAACAAGCAAAAAACCAGCCAAACTCCAAACTTCATTCTCCCCATTTGATTCACAACATTTGGGCCCTAGTTCAACACATGCTTCACTGTGTTGCTGTTATTTTTAACAACCCAGAAGTGCAGACAATAAGGCAGGCCACAAGTCTTTGCTATTTCAGTACACTTTGTTGTGCATAGACTGTACAAATATGTCATACAAGTCTAAGGCTGCACCACTCTGCGATCTACTAAGGTGTAACCAGAAGTATAAATGCTTACAATCCTGCAAAGAGGATGCATCCAACGGAAGTCACTAACCATCAGGACTTATTGAAGAGCAACCTGATAAAACAGGAATGCATTGCAACCCACAATTTCTAAATGCTGATCATCCTGCCTTGACATAAAGGCAGGTACGGTAGTTCTCTGTTTTCATCTGTAGTCCAGCCTTGAATCCCACCAGGGGGAAAAGACTGGGTAAAATTAATGCATAATGATAATAATAAAATAAGTTTAATAACACTTTAAAAAAAAATTTAAAAAAACTGGCTGTCACTTAAAGCGGGGCACACTTTCACACTTTCCTGATTTGGGGGGGGGGTGTCTCCTGGTAAGGAAGGGGTGTCTCTGGACTTGTACTGTATATAAAAACCGTGGTGAGCTCTCCACGTGGGAGCTCCCTAGGAAATGCTATTAACCCTCCAAGCCGCCTGGGGTCGCTGTAGACTAGAGCCAAGCCCAACCACAGAGCCGAGTGCTAGAAAGTACCGTTTTACCCGCTCTCCCCCACCCCCGGCAGCGTGCGCATGCGTACCTCCGCCCCGCTTCCAACTCGGCGCAAAGCTCCGGCTCCAGCTGCAAGAGGCGGCACTCCCCGGCGTCCGCCGCCTGGGCGCTGAAGCTGAGGCACTGCGCCGCGGGGAGCAGCTCCGCCGGGTCCAACTTGGCGACGTGCAGGGTGGCGTCTACTTCCTCGCGGCTCCTCATCCTCGGTTTTGGGGCGGGGGGGTTGCGGCCCGTAACGGAAATAACGGCCTCCTCCGACGTCTCCTAGCAACGGCGCGCGGGGGAAAAGAGGCCTGCTCCAAAAGCGCGCCAAAAACCGCTCGGAGTGGGCGGGGGCCTGACGCTCGACGTGTCTGATTGGTAGGTGGGAGGGGGCTTAAAGCGGCAAGGCTGTGATTGGGCGCGAAGGTAAAATTTGCTGGCGCTCTTGCGGGTGTACTGAGCGCGCGGCTTTTAAGGGTTGATTCTGTGGTTCTTGTGCATGTTCGGTGAAATAGAAGGTGGGAGGGAGGGAAGGTTTTTTTATTTATTTTAATCCCTGTAAATTTTTAATCTTCTGTGTTCTCTGTTTAAAAAAATTACTCCTAATCCAGAATTATTTCACTAGTGTTTAGTTGAGATTCATGCATTGCAGGACTACATAAGCCCTATGGTATCCTCCAGCTGTACAATTCTATGATTCTATGTTGGATTATTTGCAATTAACTTTCCTATTTCTACAGTATTAAAAACGCAATGCTCTTCGCAGTTTACAGTATCTTTAACTATTTGCACCACACAAGCAAAAAAAAAAGAGCATGGAAGGGTTTGGGGTTTTTTTAAAAAGCAAAAGTTAAGGTTTTTCCATCTAGACCTATGCATATTTATGCAAATGTTAATCCAGTGAATTCAGTGGAGTTTACATATAAACCAGATTGCCGGCTGACCATGAACTGGGCTTGGTGACTTAGCAGCTGCCAATGCAGTATTTTTAGGATTGGAATGGCATGATCCTGTCTGGCTGCAGCCAATAACCGTGTTGCAGCTTCCAGACCATTTTTCAGGGAAGACCCATGTAGAGCACATTGCATTGCAGTATATATTACCTCTAAATGGTAATATTTACACCAGACTGCCTCTCCTTTTGAGTTTGGGAGCAGATTAAAGGCTGTATAAAGAACTATGTTTTGCTCTTCATGCGGCTTCACCCTGTAGTGAACCACAGAGGTGCAGATTGGATAGTCTTCCTGGGCAGTGCAGAACAGTATTCCCAGGCTCTGGACCAGGCTCACCAAACTCAAGCTAGCCCCTGGATCCTCCTAAATGGAAGGACGGTCCATAGCTTTGTGTTTCGGCTGGAACTTTGGAGCACCTTTGGTCTTTTCAGTCTTGTTTCTGGCACAACTCCTGGCTCCTCTCTTGACAGGTGCTCACAGCTCTTGCGCCAAAGATTGTGGGTACCCACAACAAAGGGCTTCAACTTTGCCCATTGACTTTGTGGGGCCTCAGCCCCACAAATATAGTGGGTGCCAAAGCACCCATGGCCTCCAGTGCTCACAGCTTAGCCTTGTGGGGTGGTCACACAGATGTGAAAGCAACAAGGGAAGCCTTGGGATGGGCAGAAGTGTCTTGCTGTTCCTTTGTTGCTGACCACTTGCAGATTGCTGTGCCCTTCCTAGCCACACTGTTGAGGAAAATAGCAACTGCCTGACCGTTTGTGACCAACTTGGCAACCCTTTGTCCTTCACTAAAGATCTTCTGTTTCTCAAGGGGAGACCGTTATAGTGCAGGGATAGGTAATCTTTGGCCCTCCAGTTGCTTTTGAACCCTCAGTTCTTACTTCTCCCAGCCAGGATTGCTAATGGGAAGGAATAGAGTGGTCTGAGAACATCTGTAAGACCACACATTCCCCACCCCTATTGAAAGGCACTCCTCAGTCTTATTCTATGCCCAAATAAAGCCACATGGGGGCAGACTGTCACAGCACATACAAAGTGAAACCTGTTGCATTGACAAACGTGATACACAACTAGAAATATACTCCAGAAAGCTCAGCAGATACTGACTATTCATTTCCTGCTTGCTTTCACTGCTAGAGAAAGTTTGTGGCATGTACCTCATAAAAACAGCAGCTGGATTCATTCTTGCAAATGGAGCACATTATTTGGGAATGGGATCACACACTGGCTTGTGGTCTTCAGCATGTGATTGTGCCACTGTCTTAATTCATCTTTTTGCAGAACTGTAACTGTGAGCACTGACTTACCTATTGCAGAAGGGTGTGGGAAGGATAAGTGATGGCAAATACATGTGCTGTCTGTGCATGTTTCAAGTGCTACTATTGCTTGAGTTTGCAGGATCACATTGGGTACACATCTTCTTGCATGTACTTTTGGCATACTGTGATGCAGATGGTGTAGAATACTTTGAAGGGTAAGTATGACTTAACATGTAGCATGTTTGTGGACTGCTGTAAAATGTACACATAGATATTTGGTTTGGATTCGGTTAGCAGCCACCAAAATGAAAGAACCAACTTTAATAATAATTTTCAGACTTTTAAAAGGCTTGGTGATGATATAAAAAACAGAGGATTTTTGCCTCCTCTTTTGGTTTCTCGTGAGCCTCTGATCATATCAGTCAAGGCTGTTTGTGGCAAAAATGGAAGATGACTAGCACAGATAACCGTCATAAATTGAGGCAATTATAATGGGGCCGATTGACTTCTAGAGAAAGGAGGTGCTGAAAATTGCCCACAAACATATTGTGGGTTTGTCAATTGCCTAGTGTAGCTTGGCCTAAAAAGCTAGTTGCGTTTGTTCTTTTAACCACAGGATGTCTCTTGTTTAGGTGTGATGAGTTTGTGAATTGTGTGTGACGTGAAACATGTTTTGGAAATAGAGCAGAGTGGACACAACCAGTGTGGTGGTCCCTGGTATTAGTAAGTATTGATGTGTATAGAATTAAAATTCTAAAATTCTAGAACAGCACAGAACGGTTAGATAATATATCCTCTTAAATAGCAATATAAACCACAAGCTATCCTCTTCAATAGCAATATAAACTACAACAACTAACGTATGGGGACCATAATATCTACGGAGCAGATCCGAAATGCAGCAGAGACAACCAGCCCCACCCATCCAATATACAAGTATGTATTTATAGATAGCAACTGAAGTGAGAATGCTGCCGCTATCCCCCCAACTTAAGCTCACATTAGAAGGTAACTAAATATAAGGTTTATTTGCACATAATTGCAGACTGAGGGTATGATGGAAGGCTCACCGCATTAGCACTCCTAACAGATCCTGCAACCCTCATTAGATTTCTAGTGGGACCACCAAAACCATAGATTTGTATTTTGCACAGAGTAAGTTGCACTTTTGTCTCATGCAGACCTAGTTCAAGACTGCCAATCTCTCTTGTTGTCGGGAATTGGCTGGACAAAAATTCTATTTCTGTTTTCCTAAACGTACGTCATAAAATGGCCTAGTTTGCACATAATGCTAAGCCATGGTTTGTTAAATTACTGCTCTGAAGCCATTATTTGTTGTTGGTTTATAATCCTTGGTTTGTTTTAGCTATTGTGGCTTGGAGTTATGTGCCATCTGAGCATCTTTTCTTGATTTGTTTAGCCATTCCTCAGATCCTTACTAAGCTACAAAGGAACAAGGCAAGAGCAGCTGGAAAACAAAACAAAAAAATGGAGATAAAGCTGTGGTTTATTTGATCATCTGGCTGGACATTAAGTGTGAATCAGGCCAGTGAAGTGACACTGTAACAACCAAATTAGGTAGTTGCAAAGTGGTGATTATCTCCCTCGCCCCCAAATTACTCTTCCTAGGAGATAATCTCACACACATAAGGTTTGTTTGTTTTTTTAATGGGCAGAATAAAAGTTCTAGTTGCACCTGATCAAAATGAAAACTTAAAATTACATTTGATAGACTTCAAGTAAAAGCAAAACTAGAGAACTGACATGATTTCCTTAGATAAATGGAAGCAAAGCAAATAAACACATGCCAGAGAGTTTTATTTCTTTTGCTGAGCTGTCGTGCAATTACTTGCAACAAGAGCTGGTACGTTTTTGAAGCGTTGACACCAGCTTAATACATTTTGCTGCCTGTTGAGAAGGGTGATTTCTCCCACCCCAATCCAAAAACTGATTTGAGTCGCAGTTGAATCTTGCTTCCTTGCTATTGATGGACCATCATCTTCCACGGCACTTGGAGGTAGTCAGCTTGCTTAGGTAATGTAAGGTAGTCCACAGGCCAGGGCAGGGAAGAGACCACTTGCCTCCACATTACCCTTCCTCTGCTCCCTGGGACAGTCACTCTACTTTGACTGACGACAGAGTTACTCAGGGATGTTACATTGGGCCAGGAAATAAGGCAGAAATAAGCAATGGTTTCTGGCTGCAGAATAGTGAAGCCACGGAAGGAAGGAAGGGAGTAAACTGAACATTTTGAGCAGCAACAAAAAGGAAAGGACATATGACAATACTCAGGGGGGAAATCAAATTATTTCTCATTAGTACAGGAAGTTTGAAGCCTGTTGGTGGATTCCCAAAATACAACCCTTCCGGATCTCAATTTGTCAAGAAATAGTTAAATTGTTAACCGTGTGGTCACTTCCCCACCTCAGTTTGTCTGAAGCTGGAAATGTACCCACACACTGCAGAGAGATGGTGTCCCATTCATCATTAGCTGCCAGGGGAATTATTACCAGACACACTGGAAAAATTTAAATGGGGCTACCCTCTTAACCTGGTACAACAAACTGTGGGAGATAGCCTTATTGGGGAAAACTCCAGACTAAACGTCTTTCCTTCTGCAGTGTTGGATGGCAGGTTGAGAGGAGTTCCCTACCAGGACAGACTTTGCTCGTGTGCTCAAGACATCGATTCCATAAAACATATTTTGTTGCATTGTGCAAAATATGAGCAAGCCAGGGCTGAACTGATACTACCCTTGCTGGTACCTTTCCCAGGAAAATCAGAGGCTCACTATGTCAGGTTCCTATTGGAAGATTGGACAAATTCTAGAACATTAGCAGTGGCAAAGTTTTTATCGGCGGTTGCAAGAACAAATAATCCCTATATTCTGAACAAAATGCTTGTTTAACCTGGCTGTATGAATTGTGTATTGCTTTGTAATGATTTGTTGGGTCTCTGGACTGTAGTAAAGATTGATTGATTGATTGATTGATTGATGGGAAAAACTCACTTGCACTTTAAGAGTAGCAAGAGGCCAAAACAAATTATTTGTAATATGGTTTGATGTTATTAATTATGTAAAGGATGACTTGCACAATTTGAACCTGTGACCAGCATTCAGATCCATGGTTGCTCTAAGACGACAGTCTCCCCCCCCCATATGCTCTCTATATACATCAATGCATAAGTCCAAGACAAGACTTTCTGTTTTCTGTTTATAGTTAAGAAATGTATAAATAAACTCCTAATCTGTACCCTTCCTACCCCTGCACCCTGAATTTTTCTTTGTTTATTGCATATTTCTGTATTTATTTCTTGAACTAAGTGCCTTCCACATTGTATGGTTATGCTGAATCTTTGTATTCCATAAAATCAATAAAAATTACCCAACAACATCTGAGAATAGTCTACCTTAATAGGTGTTACTCCAGCCATGCTAGCTGTAAGGCACCACAGAATTCATCAAACGTCAGACCAGCCATGGTGGGTCTAAAATGGATGACAGCAATTTAAAAGTCCAGCTGCGTGCAACGTGCTTGGGAGTTTGAACCTTGTACCAAAGAGAATTGACAGCCAATGTGTAACTTTGGCACCTGTGTTGACGCTACTTGATAAGAAAAGCATGTCTGGTAAGATGCCAAGGAGACCATCATCAGGCAGCACTGCTGATGGCAAAACCATAACAAACTTGGATTGTTTTGGGGGGGAAATGTAGATATCTAATGTGTCTCCAGCAGGAGCAAGGAACCTCACACCCAAGGCCAAATGTAGCCCTCCCAGAAGGTTTCTGGACTGATCGTTGTGAATCAAGAAACCATTTTGTTACAATCGTCTCTTTTCCACTAGGGCACGAGCATGTGTAAATTCAAACCCAGGTTAACACATGAGCTTTGTGCGAGAAAATCAGGATAAATGTGAAATACACAGGTCATCTGCAGGAGCTCCCCAAATGCTTTTGTTATCCTTGTTGTACTTTCTGTATTTCATTTCCCTCTGGTCGCACTGTTTACAATTCTGCTCCCCCCCCAACAGGTGTACACTTGTAACTCAGGATAACATTGTATGCATCTGATGAAAGGCAGTCTGCTCCATGAAAGCTTGTGCCATAATAATAAATGTGCTAGGGTTCATAGAATCGTAGAGTTGGAAGGGACCGCAAGGGTCATCTATTCCAACCCCTTGCAATGCAGGAATCTCAGCTAAAGCATCCATGACAGGTGGCCAGCCAACCTCTGCTTAAAAACCTCCAAGGAAGGAGAGTCCATAACTTCCTGAGGCAGACCATTCCACTGGCAAACGGCTCTTACTGTCAGAAAGGTGTTATCCAGTTATTCCCCCCCCCCCAAAGTAAGACACATCGAAATTAATGCACCTAAATTAGTCCTAATTCATTTCACTAGGTCTACTCTGAGTAGGACTACTGTGGGACACAACCCCTAGTATTTAAGGTGCTGCAAGGTCTTTGTTGTTTGGTTCTATTCGGTGTGGTTATTTTCTCACAACGGTGTGCAGTGTGGCACAAGCGTACCAGGATGAGTGGAAATGCATGCTGTCACTCAGAAGTCTACCTCAGCCAATGGACCTGTGTAATGCAGAGAGAATTAAAAGAAGCAGAGATAAAGGCAAGACTATGGACAGAGCCTAGGACTTGCCGATCAGAAGGTCGGCGGTTCGAATCCCCGCAATGGGGTGAGCTCCTGTTGCTCGGTCCCTGCTCCTGCCAACCTAGCAGTTTGAAAGCACGTCAAAGTGCAAGTAGATAAATAGGTACCACTCCGGCAGGAAGGTAAACAGCGTTTCCGTGTGCTGCTCTGGTTCGCCAGAAGTGGGCGGCTTAGTCATGCTGGCCACATGACCCGGAAGCTGTACGCCGGCTCCCTCGGCCAATAAAGCGAGATGAGCGCCGCAACCCCAGAGTCAGCCACGACTGGACCTAATGGTCAGGGGTCCCTTTACCTTTTATGCAGTGAAGCAGACTATGTAATCACAGGACACCTCTGACACACATCTGGAATTAGAGGGCAGGAACCTTCAGAGCAGAGGTCGGTTCAAAAGTTTATATGCTGTATATCAGGAATGTCCAAGGGACTGTGATCTACTCCCAGTTTTAAAAAAAACCTGGTAGTGATTTACCCATTGTCATTGGAGGGAGGAGGAGCATGCGTGGGGTGGGTGGGTGGGTGGAAGGGGAGGGTTGCCAAGAAGAGTTTGGATTTGATATCCCGCTTTATCACTACCCTAAGGAGTCTCAAAGCGGCTAACATTCTCCTTCCCTTCCTCCCCCACAACAAACACACTGTGAGGTGAGTGAGGCTGAGAGACTTCAGAGAAGTGTGACTAGCCCAAGGTCACCCAGCAGCTGCATGTGGAGGAGCGGAGACGCGAACCCGGTTCACCAGATTACGAGTCCACCGCTCTTAACCAGTACACCACACTGACTCTGCCAAGGGTTGCTGAGCTTTTTGGGGGGAGGATTGAGCAGAGTTGTTGACCCTTTTGTGGGGGGATTATCCCGCGATCTACCAGGAACAGCCAGGGATCTACCGGTAGATCATGATCTACTGGTTGGACGTGCCTGAGTATATATTACTGATGTACACACCCCAATCTCCAAGCAGTGCGAGATTCCAGATGTTTACCCAGCCTTCTGTTTCCTTGGAATGGGGCATATATATTTTATGATAAATGGTTTACATATAAACAACCTGAGCTTATGGAGGAGGCACTCACAGCATGAAGGCTCTTGCTTGCAAAGTAGGCATTGGCCTATGAGGCTCCACAACAACTGATCAAAGTAATATTGATTTGACCTTGAAAGAAAATTACAAAAATGTATTAGGAGATCACTTGTGAGGGCCCCCCAAGATTTTGACTGCCCTCTGATTTGATCCTGGAATGTCCCGCGTTTCCATCGGATGTCCCTATTTTCATCGGAGAAATGTTGGAGGGTATGTGACCCCTAGCCAAAGATAAATAACTATACAACCTTAGAAGACATCTGAAGGCAGCCCTGTATAGGGGACCTTTTTTAATGTTTTTATATATGTTAGAAGCTGCTCAGAGTGGCTGGGGCAACCCAGTCAGATGGGCAGGGTACAAATATTATTATTATTTTTTTGTGGAATAGCACGTCCCTATTTTCATCAGAGAAATGTCCTCCCCCTTTTCCTCCACAACAGCCCTGCGAGGTAGAGGCAGATAAGCGTATGGCCCACGGTCACCCAGGGAGAGCTGAACCTGGACCATAGCTGTCAACTTTCAGATTTGAAAATAAGGGATCAGCAGCCTCGAAAATAAGGGATAAGTAGCCTCACCTGTCCCAGGGACAGTCTACGATATCTAACAATCCGGGATAGCAGCGGGAAACGGCGCTGGAATAAGGGAATTTCCCGGGGGGAAAGGGAAGGTTGACAGCTATGGCCTGGACCTTGCCAGCTCATGATCTCCCATTCTGCACCACCGCACTTGGCTGGCTGGCTGGCGGAGCCCCGATTGCCTTTCTGTTACTTATTCTTAGGAAGAAGAAACGCAGCGCAGCTTCTTAATCGGCCGCGATCCCCCTTTGACCCATTTTTCTCTCCTCCTCCCCCCCCCCCAGCTGTTGTGGAAGGAAGAAGAACAGGAAGAACTCAGTTAAGTCGAGGGGGGAAAGGGGAGGAGGGGGAGCCAAGCAGCTGGAGTTGCTTCCCTGTTCAGCAAGCAGGCAGGCGCGCAAAAAGAAGCGCCGCCTCTCCATTTCGCTAGCTCGCTCTGCAATCTTGTGAAAGGTCGCTGGTGGTAAATGAAGAGGGGAGCCCTCTCTCTCTCTCTCTCTCTCTCTCTCTCTCTCTCTCTCTCCACCTCCCCTTTCAAGCCTTCCCAGCCCCCCTCCGCCGCCGCCGCCGCCCTTGCCCTGAACTGGATCATCCTGCGCCGCAGCTGACATTGAGCGCACGCTTTGCGCAAGCAGCCCCTGGTCCCAGCCAGTGCCGGACGGAGGGGGTCGCTGGTGCCTCGGCTGGATCGCCTCTGCTGCAACCACGTGTCTGCCTCGCCAGCTGCCTGTCACACACCACAACAAGAAAGCCAGCGGGGGGATCTTTTTTGATCGCCTGCGGAAGGAACGCACGACTTTCCCCCAGCCCAGGTGAGTGAAAAGCCCGGGGTAGGTGGTGGTAGTTTCTGTTTGAGCTTGGAGAGCCTGCGGTGGCTTTTCCTCCCGTGACTGATGATGCAAGAATGCAATTCTCCGGAGACAGAAAATCTGCTTTTATATTTCTCCCTGCGGCAGGATTGGAGGGGAGGGGAGAAAGGCTGCGTTCCCTTCGACCCGTCCGCAGCTAACATTCCCAAACTGCCGCATGCAAAATTATTGCAACGTGAAATGAAGGGGGGAGAAGCGGGGTGGGAGGAATCTGCCCCAGAGCGCTTGAATGCAAGGCTTGCAGGACGGATTGGAGCGAGGCAGCTCCTCGCTTCCTGCAAAGAAGAGAGGAGCGCGCGAGGAGAAAAGGGAAACTTGTGAAAGCCAGGAATAAAACGCGTTTGCGCGTTGCCAGTTGCGAAAGAGCTCAAGGGCGGGAGGTGAAAGAGAGATGCAGCGAGCCAACGGGCGACAGAAGTTTTAATTGAAGCGGGTAGGAAATGGTCTCTGGAGAGCGCAAAGCTTAGAGTGGAAGATGCCACCGTGAGGGACGGAGGGGAGGGGTTAGGCACAGAATTGGGCTGCTGGAGGGGGGCTCAGGGTGATGTTGAGGTTTCTCAGAGTTGAAAGGGACCCCAGAACATTTAGCCCAACCCCCTGCAATGCAGGTATATCAAGGTGGCCCATGTGGGGATCAAACCCACGGCCTTGACGTTATCAGCACCACGCCCTAACCCACTGAGCAAACTGGTGTTTGGGAGGTTAGATTGCAAAGCCGCAGCTTTGAGCACTGGAGAGGCTGAGGAAAGAATCCAAATCTGCTCCCTGTTAACCTTCAGGCTCTTGTGTGCACCTGGCCAGGTTAGTGGCGAGATGGAAGAAAGCAGCCTGGGCACCATGCAGCAGAGAGCGACCGAGCTGGAGCACATGGCCGAGGTCCTGCTAACCGGGGAGCAGTTACGGTAGGAGACCTGGACTTTTCCCTTTGCACAAATGTAGTGAAAGTGAACTGGGGAGTGGGAGATCTTTTTGCTGACGGGGACAGGCGGGAGGAACCACTAATTGGGCGGGGGGCGCTAGAGCTCTACCATGGGCAATGTGAGGGGCCTGCAGCAGGTGCCAGGGAGAGTTGCATGTGACACTGCCCTGTACTCCCTAACCTCAGATGCACTGGACAGGGCTGGCCTAGGTGCTCAGATGCAGTGGAAGAGGCTGCACAGAGACATTTTGGCCCCCAAGGTGCCGTCCCCTTCCCATCAGGGAAGACAGGGTGGGTGAAGATAAACAGTGGTACCTCGGATTACATACGCTTCAGGTTACATGCGCTTCAGGTTACAGACTTCACTAACCCAGAAATATTACCTCAGGTTAAGAACTTTGCTTCAGAAATTGTGCTCCAGCGGTGCGGCAGTAGCAGGAGGCCCCATTAGCTAAAGTGGTGCTTCTGGTTAAGAACACTTTCAGGTTAAGAACGGACCTCTGGAACGAATTAAGTACTTAACCTGAGGTACCACTGTACATCAGGAACAGGGGGTGAGGGAAGATTGACATCAGGATATGCTGGCCCTGGGGAGCCTGCCACCTGAGGCGGTCACCTCCCTTGGCCTCATGGGTGGGCCGGCCCTGAGGCTGCATTGAAAGTGGAAAACAGAAGAAGATAAACCTGCACCTTTGAGAATACAGTGGTACCTCGGGTTAAGTACTTAATTCGTTCCTGAGGTCCGTTCTTAACCTGAAACTGTTCTTAACCTGAAGCACCACTTTAGCTAATGAGGCCTCCTGCTGCGACACGCCCCCGGAGCACAATTTCTGTCCTCATCCTCAAGCAAAGTTCTTAACCTGAGGTACTATTTCTGGGTTAGCGGAATCTGTAAGCTGAAGTGTATGTAAGCTGAAGTGTATGTAACCCGAGGTACCACTGTACTGTCCTGCAGCTTATGTCTTTTTATAAGGTTTACAGAGAAAATGAACACTCTTGTGCATCCAGTTTCATATGTGCATTCTTCAATGGCATGAATCACCATAGGCAAAACTTTTCAGGGTAGAGAAATGTCTTGCCGCGTCCTGCAGTATCGGTAATCTACTGTAATTTTGTGCAATTTTCATTTCAGTTCAGTGAATTATTGCTGCATGGGTTATTTGACAGCGGGTCAGCCAACGAATTTAAAAAGGCAAAGGGAGGAGGAGGAGGAGGAGTAAGAAAGGAAAGATAGTGACTGCATTCCTTGTATGCCATGAGTGTTTAGCATGGGCAGCTGCTTATATCAGACCAAACCTGTTAATCATGCTGAGCTCCCTTCAGGCTGCATAAAGTCCAGGTCATAAGATAAGGCAGGAAAGTGGAGGAAGCGAGTAATCAGAATTCAGGTCTTAGCATCTCTTGGGCATTAAACTCATTATGGAAACTCTATTCGTCTTTCATGCGGTCCCAAATTAATTAATTCCCCCAAAGAATGAATGGAAAAGTGCCAATACCACAGCAGTACATTTAATTTTGGAAGATTGCTTCCTTAAACCCAATCCTGAACACGTTTCCTGAAAAGTAAATTCTGTTGATCTCAGTAGGATTTACTTCCAAGGAAGAAGGATCACGTCTTAAACAGAATGACAATGTTTCCCCCCACCCATTTCCTTCCCTATTTTTAAAAACTAGTGTGTAACGGTGGGGGTGGGTGGATTCTGCAGGTGCAGAAGTCATTATGATACAACTTTCTAATATCTGGTGCTAGGGGAAATGATTGTGTGTGTTATGTACTGGGCCAGCAGGGGGATACTGTAGATAGTTATGCAAATGAAGGCTCGAAAGTGACGTTCAGTGATTGGATAGTTTTAGAAAGTTGCTACAGTTACGTTGTTCTGGAGCTCTATATAAGAAGGCTGACTGAGTTCTTCAGTTCAGTTCTGTTCCAGCTTACAAATAAAGAGCTGCTTTGGAAGAATCGCTGTGTCGTCTGATATGTTCGCCCACAACTTAACAGTGTGTTTCTATGAATTAGGGGGGAAGCACATATCCAGACTCCCGTTATCTGTATAATAATGTGTGGTTTGGGGCCTTTCCATATATTTATAAAAATTGCACTTCTCTTTTAGCAATTAAATACCGATCCTTTCTCTCTTAGCGATGTAAATCTCCTTAGGAGAGCCCTCCTGGATCAGACCAAAGCCCCATCTAGTCCAGCATCCTAATCTCTCAGTGGCCAATCAGATGCCTACAGAAAGTTTGCAAGCAGGACAGGAATGCAGCAACGCTCTTCCCACCATAGCTGTCAACTTTTCTTAAGGGAAATTCCCTTATTTTGAATAGGATTCCCCGCAAGAAAAGGGAAAAGTTGACAGCTCTGCTTCCCACTTGAACTCCCCAGCAACTGGGTGTTCAAAGAAGAGGCATACTGGAACTGATTCTTGGCCACCATGGTTAGAAGCCATTACCCTCCATGAATTTGTCAAATTCATCTTAAAGCCATCTCGGTTGGTGGCCGGCCATCGCTACCTCTTGCAGCACTGAATTCCATAGTTTAAGTATTATATAAAGAAGTACTTTGTTTTGTCTGCCCTGAATTAAGTTTCAGCATTCAGTTTTGTTGGATGGACCCCAGTTCTAGTATCATGACAGAGAGTTTTTTACTGTCCACTTTCTCCAACCTCAGTGCATATCCTTTTAGAAAATACTTGCGTATTTGCCAGTAGCCTGTACAGATAATAGATGGAGAGAAATCCATTTGTTGCCTTTCATTTTCCGAAGGAAGAGGTATGTGCTACAGTATGGAGAAGGACACAGCCTAAAAATAAATACACATAACATACACATCTAAAGAGCAAAAGCTCCACAAAATGGCAGGGGACCAGAAATAGCCTTTGTTGGAGAGGGAGTCAAAAGCTCTGAATATTTATAGGAGCCGGCAGAAGAAGAACCTTAAGTTCACAAAATGGCAAAGGGAAGGAATTGTGTTACCACGGGCAAAAGCCGATAGGTGTCTCTGACACTTGCCTGCCGATTTCCCGGCAATAATAAAAAAAAGAATAACCATGTAAGAAAAAGTAGCATATCTATTGCTATGTCTTCTAGTTCCTGAGAAATGAAGGTACAGTATAAACTTTGTAAGCTAAATTAGCAGCTTTTAGGGATTATCATAAAGAAACCATTGCAGGAAGAACTTTGTAACACTACTAAATTTTGCATCCATTGCAAGGAAATGTGCTTGGGGGTGGTTGAGGAATTGGATCGTTGCAGATTTTAATATGAACTGTGTTTTCTTGTTTAATGCGTGGTTGCAAAATACTGTAATAACAGGATGAAACAGATTTATGAATGAATCTATAAGAAACTGACATGGGCCTGAACTAGTCTGATCAGCCCATCCCTAAATTTATTTCAAAACTCTGTGGCGCATGCGCTGAATTTTATTAAAAAAAGATTCAAGGACAGCTTGTTGACATGCTGTAGTGAGGCAGGTGGACTGATGTCTATAACTGGTTAAAAGCGTTTTAACCAGTGTTGCATTTTTAATACGGGTGGCATGGTGGAATAAGCAATGGAATTGGGTAGGGCAGAACAGGTGTACAATTTGCCTTGGGCATCAGTGGCCACAAGGTAGAATAGTTTCTACTAGTAAACTTCTGGCTGATTGAAAGGCGAGGATTTCTGACTCCCAGTCATTGAACGGTAGTAAATACACCTCTTTTTTTTTCAATTCTCTAGAGTGGTTAGTCTTTTGCTAACTGTTTATTTCTGCAGTTCAGGGCTGGTACAAGAGATTGTGCCATAGACTCCTCTTTGCGATAATAGCAGCAACACGGCTATTCTCTTCCTTCCATCCCATTTCTTATCCTCCTCTCTCTCCCCCCATCCCTCTTTCCCCTCCCCATTTTTGGGGTGGAGAGCTATTCCATTATCCGTAGCAGCACAGGTGCCTTCTCTGCCACCTTCTCTTCCTTGCCTCTCTCTGAGAAACGGGGTTCAGGCGTTCTGGGCAATGTTTGCCATGGACCATAGAAAGGCTTTTAAAAACAAATCTAAAAGCTTTAAAAAGAGTCTAAGTTTGAAATGCGGGTGGCGCTGTGGGTTAAACCACAGAGCCTAGGACTTGTTGATCAGAAGGTCAGCGGTTCGAATCCCGGCGACGGGGTGAGCTCCCGTTGCTCAGTCCCTGCTCCTGCCAACCTAGCAGTTCGAAAGCACGTCAAAGTGCAAGTAGATAAATAGGTACCTCTCTGGCGGGAAGGTAAACAGCATTTCTGTACGCTGCTCTGGTTCGCCAGAAGCGGCTTAGTCATGCTGGCCACATGACCCGGAAGCTGTACGCCGGCTCCCTCAGCGAGATGAGCGTCGCAACCCCCGAGTCGGCCATGACTGGACCTAATGGTCAGGGGTCCCTTTACCTTTACTAAGTTTGAAAAAGTCACAGCAGTGCCACAGGTATTCTCTTGGCCACCTCGCCCAGAATGCCTGTATCCAAAGAAGGAACCCTCCCCCTTCAAATCTTGTTTTGCTTTGTTATGGAAACTGTGCATCTTTGGAAAGAGGAACATGGGAAGAAGAGAGAAGTGTCGAAGAACAGCCACTCAAGCGTATCAATAATCAGTGGATATTTTTATACTGAAATTAACAAACTGTCTGCATCAGGATTCTGGAGTCATTCTATACCCTTCAACAGGACACCACTAACATTCCAGTTCCATAGAGAATTGTTTGGAAGTAAAGTCCACCCCCAAGTATTTAAAAACAGCTCATAGTGTGCATAGTCAGCAATAGAATTAAATGCAAACATGCAGAATTAGCATATTTCGAGTGTCGAAGTGCTTCACAAAGTCCTTTATTTGAAGGAGCTCTCCATCTGAAGGGTCAACGCCAAGTCTGGTTTAACCCAAAAAAAGAGAAAGAAAAAAAAGAACCATAAAAAGGGAGAGAAGAGGCTTTGAGTTTTCCCATGTTCACTGATCACCTGTTTGTCAGACTGAGGAA